TGACGAATGACTACGATGATGATCCACTATTACGATGACGATGACGGTGACGAACGATGAGGAAATTACGAGCTGACGATGCGGATGAGGAAATAATTGAGATGCTGCGCGCTAATCTGCTGAATGACATGATGATGGATGCGATGACGATGACGACGATGCTGACGATGAGGATGAGGATGAGGATAAGGATGAGGATGCTGAGCTGCTGATGATGATGATGATGATGACGATGACGATGACGATGACGATGACGATGACGATGACGATGATGAGGATGAGGATGAGGCTGACGATGAGGATGAGGATAAGGATGAGGATGCTGCTGCTGCTGCTGCTGATGATGATGATGATGATGATGATGACGATGACGACGATGACGATGACGATGATGACGATGACGATGACGATGATGAGGATGAGGCTGACGATGGATGAGAAGGATGAGGATGCTGCTGCTGCTGCTGCTGATGATGATGATGATGATGCGACGATGACGATGACGATGACGATGACGATGACGATGACATGACGAGACGACGATGAGGATGAGGCTGACGATGAGGATGAGGATAAGGATGAGGATGCTGCTGCTGCTAATGCTGCTGATGATGATGATGATGATGATGATGACGATGACGACGATGACGATGACGACGATGACGATGACGATGACGATGATGAGGATGAGGCTGACGATGAGGATGAGGATAAGGATGAGGATGCTGCTGCTGCTGCTGATGATGATGATGATGACGATGACGACGATGACGATGACGATGACGATGACGATGACGACGATGAGGATGAGGCTGACGATGAGGATGAGGATGCTGCTGCTGCTGCTGCTGATGATGATGATGCTGATGATGATGATGATGATGATGATGATGATGATGACGACGACGACGACGATGACGATGACGATGACGACGATGACGATGACGACGACGACGATGACGACGATGACGATGACGATGACGATGACGATGACGATGACGATGACGACGATGAGGATGAGGATGAGGCTGACGATGAGGATGAGGATAAGGATGAGGATGCTGCTGCTGCTGCTGATGATGATGATGATGATGATGACGACGACGACGACGATGACGATGACGACGATGACGATGACGATGATGACGATGACGATGACGACGATGAGGATGAGGATGAGGCTGACGATCAGGATGAGGGTAAGGATGAGGATGCTGCTGCTGCTGCTGCTGATGATGATGATGATGATGCTGATGCTGATGCTGATGCTGGTGGTGATGCTGGTGGTGATGCTGGTGGTGATGCTGGTGGTGATGCTGGTGGTGATGCTGGTGGTGATGCTTGTGTTGTCGATGATGTCGATGTCTATATCTACTTACATGTGATACAGTAGTTCACTGGAAAGGTGGACCGGCCCCATATTGATTGATGGTTTCGTCTTCGCTTGCAGATAGCTGTTGATGAGGTATGGGCCTAGACATCCCCAGCTCTATGTCAAACGCTCGGCTGATTCCGCTGCAATGCGCAGCATTTGTGGCTTTGATCTGGTATTTTTGAGCCTTGGACATCCCTTTTGAGCGACCCTCGGGGCTGCGAAGCACCCCTGAGGTCAAATGTGTGCAAATTGCGATGGGATTTGGGTGTTGAATGTGCAGATTCTTCCCCAAAATCTGGCATATAGTATTGTACTAGTAATGTATTATGTATTATAGTAATTATGAAAGTATCATATCATTTTTGTTGCCACTTTTCAACCCCCAATCCACCTTGCATCTCTGCATTTACTTGGCCCTTGGTCGGTCTGTTCAAATCCTTGGTGGCCGGTGGCTTCGAAGCCGAGCACTTTGAGCTGCCAGGCGCGACGTTTTGCTACCCGCGGTGGATCCAATGATGTCAGGTCTTCGATGGATTTTAGGAGGGAACAACTGACACAACAAGTAAAATAATTTAATGATATATACATAGTATATACATGTATAATGTGCAATGATATATGTACTTAATTGTACTTATATTTTAGGAATATAATGTAACTTAGAATATGGTTTTGTTACTTTTTTTTATATTTTAACTTAGGATATGGATGAACAACTGAACAAATTCGAATGAATGGTTTTCGAGAACATGTTCACGGACTTTCCATGTAGCACCAAAGAGTTTGGAGTTGCGTGGCGTTGACATCACTGGGACGCTCAAGCAGGGCAATGATTATTGCTAAGTCATTCCTGACGGAAGCAGTGGAACACCCAGAGGAAGAATATGGAAGGATTGACCTAATCGCACCATATCAATCCATATTACACTTAATATTAGGATGTATTAAGTTCCTAATAGGATATTACAAATATTAGGATATTAAGTACCCTATTAATATTATTAATACCAGAATACATCCGAATTATTTTGTTATCTCGGAAGCTGAGATTCTGCTGACTTTCCTGACGGTTGTTTTTGCGTCGCTGCAAGACATTATGCAGCCAGGGGATCAAACCCAGCTGTAGCACCAGAGAAAAAGCCGAATGCCGCCGCTTCAAGGTTTTGAGACAAGAACATATTTATTTTGGTTCTTGTCTCAAAACTTTGAAAAGAAGCTTGATGTTCCTCTTAACTTCATTGAAATTTCAAGTTTACTTCATCTTTCAATGTCTCGACGTCGAAATGCGTCCGCTGAGTGCTTTCGCCTAGGTGGGATGGAGACAATGTGGCTGGTCTTGTCAGTGGTTGGTGGCTGATCTTGTAGCCTTGCCGACTTCGCACATAGAAAAAGTGCACCTGCGGCCAAAATGAGAGTGGATACTGCGCCTGGCCCAACATCAAAGATCTAATTAGTGCGACTTTTGAGAAATGGAAGAACCGTTCAAGTTGCTTATATTTTTTCCAGATTTTTCCAGATCTGCTAAGTCCTCTCAAACAACACGTGTTTTTTGCTACTGGCAGACGTCAAAGGATTTGATATTGACTGTGTCTTGTCATGTCCCATCGATTCGTACTGTTTTGCTTTGTCCGCTGCCACCCTGAAGTGGTTTCACTGCAGAGTCTTGGCTTCCCTGCACACTGCAGTTTCTGCACAGTTTTGTTCATGTTTACTGCAAAACTGTTGGCGTACTCAAATGCTGAGAATGCTGAGCTACTCACTGATTGATCTGATTCGACATGACTGTTGTACTACCCAAACCTTTCGAAGGAGGGGAACAGGTAGGAAGCTCTCCGCGCGCCATGGGCATAGCGCTTTCCATGGACGTGGCCACATGGCCGAGAGCATGGTGTGGCCCTGCGGCCCCTGGCACCTCATCCCCCAGTCAACATGCCGAACGACAGGCGTAAATTGGGATGTGACTGGTGCTGTGACTGCTGTACTGAAGCCTCTTGGGATCATTGGGATCATTGGGGTTATGGGATGATATGATATGATATGATTGCCATGTTGCACCCCCAAATCCTGGAGAAGGTGATGTTCATCTGCCGGGATCCATCCTCTGAAAACATCGTTCATCATCTTTCGGCCTTTTGACCTTACCCTGAAATTTACCTTTCGATCATCTTAGCAAAGACAAGTTTCTCTTTTTTTTTTAATGGGATGCAAACCTCAATGTTTTTACGTCCGGGTGTTTACTGATAAAGCTCCCTGACGTGAAACGATCACCCCTTTGTCGGTTCATGTGAGTTCTATTTTTGTCAACGCTGAATACTGTTGAGTGAGTATATGTGAATAATTGTGAATCTCGTTTTATATAATCTAGATAGATCAATCATAGATCTAGTAGTCCGATGTTTTCCCTCGGTTGATATCCCAAGTCTGAGAAATCATCAGTTTTGGGGCGTTCCAAACCCCATTTCTTGGGAAATGGGGAGGCGTTGATTCCTGGAGCTCGGCCTTCCAGGCCTGGGTCGAGGCGGGAAACATCCCCAATGATGGCTGGTTCTCCAAAACGTGGCTGGGAAACACGTGGTTACACGTGGTTACACCATATATAAATACAGTAACACATGTTGAAGCAAGGAAAATAAGGGAATATGATGTTTTATTCAATTTTATTTGATGAGAAAACACATGAAAACACTGGAGCCACTCAAAGATGGTAACCGACAAGAAACACTGCTGCTAGGTTGGTGACGCAACTGGGGCTTTCTGGCCTGGCAGTTTCTGGACTTTGCCGTCGAAGCCGCAAAACGAGGCCTCCGAAAGCTGGGCAAAACTGGGGACTGATCTGTCAGATCGATATTTGGGGGTTTCCACAAATGGGGGGGATCCCCAAAATGAATGGTTTATGGAAACCTCTATTTGGATCCTTTGATTGCTGATATCGCTGTTGGTGTGTTTGTGTTTGAATTGCATCTGATAGATGAAAAGGAATTGAAATGATTCTCACGTTGTTTCTGGTAGATTGAGACCTTCAATGTCATTGGCTACCGCCTCTGGTACGAATTGAACAGTTGCCATTCCCAAGTTACGGGTGGTGTTTTTTCGGCAGCGAGTTTGCGATGATAGCGGAAGATCCCAGATGGCAGGATCGCCCGTCGAGCTGAGCCCGAGGGGGAGTTCGTTCAAGGCCTGCAATGTGGTGGATACCGCTTTTACTAAGGTGCAGCCTGGAAGTAGTGACAAGTATCAAAGTATATCAAAGTCGTTGTCAATCTACTGTCTCATCCCTCTACGTGAAGATGTCCCCAACGACACACCATTGACACATATTGGCACCATTCATATCCATTCAAGACTAACTGCGAGTTGCGTGCAGATACGAGAGTTGTGGCGATGCCAGGGTACACAAAACCAGGATGGTTTTCTGATGTTTTCTGGATCACCAAAATGCCACTTATTTTCTGATTAGTTTTTGCGGCTTGGTGTTTCAGCAGGAATGAAGCGTACTGACAGACATGGTTCAGGCACTTCAATCTTTGCTGATGCAGAGAAAGATCCATTTCCAGCTGGCACTTCGCCATTGGATGTGCCTGAGCTATAGCTGTCATGGTTCTGTTCCTGGTCAATGCCGCACCACCAATAACATGTCCCGAACAAATAGGGTATCTTTAAGATATTGTATATAGTATATAGGTACTTCATAATATTTCCTTAGATTAATCTGGGAGCCCAAACAACTGTTTTCTGGCCTGGTCAAACAGATCAATCGGACCGTCTCTGCAGCGCCAACTGAGTTGCTGCCTAACATGGACTTTACGGAGGAGGAGAAGAAGAAGCAGGAGCCATCTGAGCCGGCCATGGTTCTGGAGGCCTCGCGCAGCGGCGCATGGCTGCCAGGTCCCCCTGGATGAAAATGCCATAGCAATGGGATGATCCCCAATGACCAGCAGATTTTTCAGAGGGGAGAAGAACCACCAACCAGATATATACTATATATACGTATATATATATGTTATACATATATATTATAATATATATATAGTTCAATCATATTAAATCCCATGAAATCCCAGTAAATCCCAATGAATCGCATACCATCAAAGCTCTTTGTCGCACGGCGGCAAGCGCTACCAGGTTCGTGGGGATCTGGTGGTGGTACGCGCTGGAAAAGGCCTCTTCACACAGGACGGTGGAGATCGGTGGAGAGGATTGGGGATTTGACCAACCAAAATGGTGATATCACAGAGTCAACCAACAAAAAATGGTGGTGTAACGGGGATATATATATATAGTGAATATAGTGAATATAGTGAATATAGTGAATATAGTGAATATAGTGAATATAGTGAATATAGTGAATATAGTGAATATAGTGGGATACTGCAATTTATCCAGATGGTTTGTTGTCATGGGGTGCTGCAGGATAGTCCAGGCACCATTGCTTGTACCGACAGTCTGAATCTCAGATGGGAACTGCCTTCAACGCTCCACGAGTCATGCTGGAATTGGGTCTGGGGTCAAGTTGGCCATCCCTCAAATCAACGTGGCCATGCAAAGTGATGAAACATGCCCCAACCTTGTGGTTGATTTGCCACCACCAATTGGATACGGGGAACATTTCGAACATGTTCAAGACTTCTAAGTAGCGATCCAGGTTTCGACAGCGCCAGCTTCGTTGGTTCAGTTGCCCCTCAAAATATGTTTCTCACACCCCCATGATGCCATGGAGGCCTACCATTTTTCAGGATGAACCTACCATTTTTTGATCTCCCCAGGTGGAGCTGATGCGGTACTTCTCGCTTGGAAAGAGGACATCGCAGTGACTCGTACGGTCGTGTCGGGTCGTGCGGGTCGTGCTGGGAGCTACTGCGTCGATGATAGAATAAGAAATATGTAGTAATATCATATTGATATTGTTTTTCTCTGGTTTGTTCTATTTGCTATCCATCTTGCTTCATTAAAAAAAACATGGCTATTAATACTGTATATGGTCTCTATGTGTATCTTCAAGCGCTGTTGACTTTCCCTTAGAAAACTCAGCCCGGCCCTGGCTGAGATTTTGCAGCTCCTGGCGGGTGAAGCCGAGCCTGGAGATGAAGCACGAAGAGTGGAGTGCCTGGGTGTGGTAGATTTGGTTGCCATAATGGGAGATCAACATTTAAACTGTATTAGATGATAGATATGATCGTAGTATTAAGAACTATTAATTAGATGATAGTATTCAAAGAACGGGGATTATTGTTATTACTATTAGTACAACTCTTATTGTTATTATTGTGATGGCAACATTTTAATGAGCGCAGCAACGACCTCACCGGAGATGAAGGCTAGGAGCAATCATCATGGGGGTTGTACACTAGGGTTTATAACCCCATTTAATTTGACATTTTGGGGATAATTGCCTACAAAGTACAGCAGCGGGATATCCGGGATATAGAAGCTCTGAAATGGGGATATTCAATTTCAGACAATTGGGATGTTAAACAGCAAAATTGGGAATATCAAGCAGCATTTTTCATGGGAAATATGATTTTCTAATACAGTTGATTTGGAGTGTTCCCTTTTGGACAAACCTGTCTGGCTAAGTTGATGGTGAACAACTGTGGTGAACTGGAGTTAAACCAAGTGGTTCATGTAGGGATTACAAACAACAGGTAGGTAGTTGATGGTTACTGATACTGTATGGAGTTGATCGAGTTGGAAGGTTACAAGGAGTTATGGGGTCATTGGATGAGTAATGGCTTAGACTAACTCGTGATCGATGGGTAAAAAGACGGTTTTGGCTGTGCGTTTCCTTTGGTTGAAGGTTTTGTTTGGGGTTGATGCTTTTGGCTTGGCCTTATAACAACTCTTCTTGGGAGTATCACAAAATCGACGATCAAGAAATTGCTATGTCTTCATAACTGATCCCCAAAGTGCATGGTTTAGTAAGTACTCAGAATAATCACTTCAGTGGGTGCAAGATAAATTCGTTTTATGGACTGCCATCATGTGAAATGGATGCATCTATTGATTGGGCCATATTGGGCCTTTGGATGTGAGCAGCCACAGATCTAGATGCCATTGCAATGCAGTGGCACGTCAGTATGTCCATAGAAGATAATGCTGGATGATACAAGTATAATTACGTCTATGACGATTCAGCACTTTTCCCATTCTAAGACTAGTCTTGGTTGCACAGCAACTCTTGTTTCCAATCAGTCTTTCTCAGAAAGTAACATATGATATTATAATATAATAGACAGTATTCATCTATCTATCTATCTATCTACCTACCTAGCTATCTATCTATCTATCTATCTACCTACCTAGCTATCTATCTAATCTAATCTAATCTAATCTAATCCTATCCTATCCTATCCTATCCGATCCCATCCCATCCGATCCTATCCTATCCTATCCCTTCCTATCCTATCCTATCCGATCCCATCCCATCCCATCCGATCCTATCCTATCCTATCCCTTCCTATCCTATCCTATCCTATCCTATCCTATCCTATCCTATCCTATCCTATCTATCGATCTATCTATCTATCTCTCTCTCTCTCTACATATATATATATACATATATGTATGTATGTATATGATCTGATGTTTTTTCTTTCACCTTGAGTCAATTTCAGGTGGCGCATCACCAGAGGTTTCGAGGTTTCCTGGGCTCGCCGGGCCGCATGGCAGGGAAAAGTTCCTTCAAACGAAGTGCAGCAAAGAGCTGCGCGGGCGGATCCTGGATCCTCAAGGCAGATCTCTGGATGGTTCGGGGCACTTAGCTGATCGAAGGCGAAAGGAGGGTCGAAAACGGGCTGAAATATGTGTGCTTCCTGGTTTCAAATGTGTGTTTTCTCTTAATGGTTGATCCTAAAAGTAGGATGATGACCAATGAATTCTATCTAAAATCAAAGGCTGCAGCAATTTCACATGTCTATTTTCATGGGAAATTGCACATATCACGTCGGCATGGTCCAGGAAGACAGCTCTGAGGTCTGCCAATGCCCGAGGAAGTGGAGATGAGAAACGTTTTTGTGATTCCCAAGCCAAAGCAGGTGCCTCCCTTTAGGTTTGAAGCTTCGATGTGGCTTTGTCTGAAAAGAGACCCAACATTTTGATGGTGAATCATCATTTTCCCCTATTTTTCATAGCCATCATTGGTGTACCCCATTTCCAGAGACCCCTGTAACATCCTGTAACAATATCAACTCCATGAATCGAAACTTTCTTCATCTGATTTCGCTAGCCAACGGCTCAAAGCTATTGAAGCAACCCTTCGTGCACAACTTTGCTCGTGCCAGGCGGGATAGGTGGACCGATCTGAGAGCCATGAATCAACAATCGACATCTGGGCCATGTGATGTCAATGTGATGTCATTCAAAATGTCACATTGAAACACAGTAAAGCTAAGGAAAATGCTAGAACGTCTCTCTGTTTGCTTTGTTTCCTGGCTGCGCCTGCTTCAGGTCTTTCCGTTTTCCGACCATGGCGGAACAGCGCCTCGGCAAAGAGATATTTAGATCATTTCCTTCCCATCGCACCAACAAAGACTGAACGATGTCAACATTTTGTTCAGTCCACGTTGGGTTCGACGCTGGCTGTCATCGGTGTGCATGCTAGTCTGTGAACCCTTGGTGCCCATCAGTAGCCAAACGCAGATGTCCTACGGCATGATGGTTGTGAGTTTTGGGACCTGTAAAATGAAGGCATCCCAAGTGAAAGGGCAGTAGCTTTTGAGTTCCAACGAGTTTCTTTTCGCCAGAGCACGAGACTCAAGAGCCCACCTTCTCCCCATCAGAGTCGCCGATCCGATGGCTGAGGAGCAAACCAGCACCATCATTTTCCGACATTCTCAACAAGGCATCGAAGAAGGCCAGCCAGTTGCTTCACCCCGCCGCACTGGAAGAGGTCTAATCTAAAGCACCCGGATGTGGAGAGCATGTTTTGAAATGGTGTAAACTTTGTTTCAGGTTTAGACTCAGACAAGGGTGTTGAGATATGTTGGAGTCAAGGAGTCTTGGTTGTGTACTGCACGTAATCTTTGTACTTGGCAAGGCTTTGAGTGGTGGTTTAGCTGGAATGGGCGCGCAAGCCATCAATGCGAGAGCCTAAGCTTCGCGGTTTCGTTTGAGCCAGCACGTGAACCCAGGTATCATATATATATATAAATATATATTATATATATATATAACAGAATCAAAAGAAAAATCATGGAAGAAATGAACATAACAATAGGTAAAGCAACTGGATTGAAGACGATGGAAGCACTGTAGGCGGCTTGTACCCAACCTTTGGGATGTTTAGTCTTGATCGTCATCTTTGGTCGAGTCGCACAGCTCAGGTGTTGACCTTGATGTGGATGAGAACGATCATGAACTACCAATACCGATATGGCTGGATCCTGAACTTTATGGCTGTGGTTTATCCTTTGAGATGCACACCCCTCCAACCCCTCCATTTGTGGAAACGAATCTGACCTTGACAGAGCCATCAGCCTACGTGAGTTTGCAACCTCAAGATTTGTAAATTGATTAAATTGTCATCAGAGGTTCAATGGTTCAATGTGAGTGGGCAACACCAACAATTTAACACCAGTTTTCTCATCATGTTTTTATATTTTTTGCATCCGTGGGCTCCAGGTGGAACTTTTATGGAGGTCACTAAGAAGCTCTGGGCTGAGGGCGGTGTTCCGCGCTTCTACCGCGGCTTGGCCCCAGGGTTGATTCAGGTACGCCAGTGATTGTGTTCCCAGGAACCGCTCCCAACTCTCAGCTGCCATGGCTGCCATGTTTTCTTTTTCGAAATCCCACCAGTGCGTAGCCTGCCCCTCACTATGCCATGCAGGGTGTGATTTCTCATCTTTGGATACCCATGGATACCCCACTCTCCCAGACCCAGTTCCTGTCATCATCCAGTTTTGCAGGCGCCTGTCTCGCGCTTCGGAGACACGGCCGCCAACGATGGCGCACTGGCAGCGCTGGAGCACACGAGTTTGCCAACAGCGGTGGGGGACCTCAGCTGTCGCAAGCAATGGATGGTTTTAACATGTTTTAATCCCGATCCTTGGGATGACTTATAGTCCCTGAATGGTTGAGAAATTGGGGAGGGTCTATATGGATCTATATGGGTCTATTATTATGGATCCCAAATGACTGTAGTGGGTATATTCTTAATATGGGTGTACAGTGAGGATTTTCTGAATGAATCTGAATGACATCCATAATATGTGGGTGTATAAGTTCCAAACTTGCGGAGGACCAAGATATGTCTTGTTCGGCGGCAGAAACCAGTGAGTGAACCCATTTGTTGTGTAGAAGCTTCGAAAGTTCTTGAACTTCAAGGATTTCTCCAATTTAAACAAATCAGAACTACAGCAAGCAAAGTAGCTATACAAACAATCAAGACAAGCTAAAACATGACATGTGGATGTGGGTCAAAACCCCCGTGATGCCTCTGTGCTTTCATCGGGGTGTTGACCCATTTTCAGTTATGATATGTGCATATATTTGCAGTGTAATCCCTCATATTTCAATGGTTAAACCCCCACCCTGGATTCAGTTTTCAAGGTAAAGTCTCAATAGTGATACTTTTCATGTGTTAGATCCACATCTGAGGGGTTCAACAATCCAACAACGGTGAACATCCAACAAATCATCGACAGCTGGTCGTTTTTCATGGATAGAGCCATTGTTTGGGGGTCTCCAATTTTAGAAACTCACTATATTTCTTCGTTGAAACCCAACATGCTAAGTTGGTTAAACCACAAATTTGGAGACTTGGAAACCATATATTTCTTATTTTCATAATCTTGCGGACAAAACCATAGTAGTTTGTTGTTGAAACCTCCACCAAATATGGGTTTCATGTTGCTTCGCAGACCAGTTGCTGCCATTAAAGCAGTGCGAGTTCCCAAGGCTAAGACCATGTGCGCCTCCGGAGCTGCAGCAGGCCTGGTATCCGGGTATCAAAAAAGATGGCATAGATGGCTCAACATCTCTGACCCAAAAGTTGGATGTATAGTATCATAAAATATCATAAAATATCTAAACATATATCTAAACATATATCATATATCTAAACATATATCTAAACATATATCTAAACATATATCTAAACATATATCTAAACATATATCTAAACATATATCTAAACATATATCTAAAAATATCTAGAAATGATTAAGTTTGTACACCATAGTCATAGCCACTTATGAGCCGTGCTCCGGGGAATGAAGATAGAATGCTGAGACATAAGTCATTTCTAAGCGTGGGCACCTTATTCGAGACAATAACCCTGTTGCGAGCCACTGACCAAACATTGCAGAATGAATAGACGCTAAGTCTGACTGAAGCGCCTGTGCGAGTCTCTTGGTGTGGGGAATGAGGCAAGATTCTGGAGTCCAATGAAGTCAAGCATCATGATCATATTATGATCATCGAATCATCATGCAATCTCGAAGATGAAATGTAGTATTTAAGCATGTGTTTGCAGGTTATTCTCCATTGATCTGACTTGATCTCAATTACACCATACGCATTTTCGCGGCAACGGATTTTGCAGCGCTTTCCTCCGCCATGGCGTGGAGTCGTTCCTTCGACGAATTGCACTTTGGCATTGCTGGCTATTGCAACAAGCGACAGCCCCTGGCTCCGCTGCCGTGCTTGTCCTCTGGGTCCAGCCCCGGGCATGTCAGTGGTGCCAAGCAGCCGCGGGTTGCCATCATAGGTGCTGGAGCTGCTGGCTTGGCGACAGGCAGAAGTTGGGGAACTTGAAAAGTTGGAGATTGGAAAAAACGTAAATGGAGATTGAACGATTGAACCGACCATAATTGGGTGGTTTAGACAGGGGATGTGGTGGAGGTACTTAGCGCCAACAATATCAAATGGGCATGTCGCAAATGGGGGATGTGTGGCATTGAATAAGTTGGAAGATTAGGTTGTGAGCTATAGGATGGCTTCTGAGATCAACATTTGAGACACTTCCATTTAAAGTCAAATATGCACTGTTTGCTTTCGGATGGGTTTAGAGTGGATATGCCCTATAGATGTTGCCATCCTCAATATCGGATCCTTTCAAGCTTTCAAGTAGGAAGAACTTGCTGATGGGTGAATCAGTTTCCAGTCAGACCTTCTGCTGGGGAGGTTTTCACTCCCCCAGAGCGAAGAGTTTAGAGTAGGCCGGAAATCAGTAACAGTGCGGTTTTTGGGAATATGACTGGCAACTCCTGAATAGTTTATTATCAGAGGGGTTGCTCCCATTGAACGACCAATGAGAAAATGATGATAGAATGCTCTGCAAACCAGTCCATTTTTGCCAGAAAGAGGACTGATCTCCGCATCATTTTCTTGAGAACTTAAAACCACCATTAAATCCAATGGTTTTTGGATGCTCTTGGTGATCAAATCCTCAGGTTGCTGGGATTCACCCCTGTTTCGTCCCCCTGCAGCCTTGGGCCTTGCCAAACACGGCTTTGCGGTCACTCTGTTGGAGCAGAGCCATGTGGTGGGAGGTCGAGTTCGCAGTTGCCAGGTGCGACAGAAACCCTACGACCTTGGCGCCACATGGCTGCATGGCCGGAGCACGGAGCAGAACCCGTTGCTCAGGTTGGGGGTTGCACGAGAGTTCGGGGTCAGAAACGGGGGATTGTTGAGTTTTATGAGTGCATTTAGCAGGACTCAAATCTCTTTTTGCCTGGGGGCTTCGGTGATTTTGACCCAGAATCAAATGGAGATTCGGGAGTTCCTGTCTTCAATTTGATGGGATGTTTGTAGAAGGACTGTCTATTGTTTTGGCAGCCATATATGGGCGACGCAGTTTTGGAATGTTTTGGATGGTGATTTTGTATGATTTTGTGCCAGAAACTTGGAGGTACACTGAGAAGCTCCCACGGCTTGAGGGCAAACAGCGAGGAGGCAGCGGCGACCATATCGAAAAACAGGAGTCTTTTATTAGCAAAGCATGTGGATTTCACATGATTTCACCACCAAATATGTACCCTCTGGTAAACTAACATAGCTATTGAAAATGGCCATTTATAGTGGATTTTCCCATAAAAAATGGGGATTTTCCATAGCTATGTTAGTCATTACCAGAGGGTACAGTATTTTGAAGCACCCAGCTATCAACCGTGCACCCCGGCGAACTTCGCCAGGTGGACCAGGTCCCCGAACGCTTTTGGATGGCGATGCAGTGGATGGGACGCTCGTCTCCCGCTTGGCCAGTTCCTATGGCAACGCCCTGGAGGATTGTGAAGGGGTGCCGCGGCGATGTCAACATGTTTCAGTTGGAGGTTGGGTGAGTCTCGGCCCTGGGTTATTAAACCATATCAAACCTCTGGGCTTAATGGGGAAGTACTATTTGAGTAGTCAGCTTTCACGATTTATCACGTTTGAAGTTTTCTTAGGGATGTCTTACTTGATTAGCCAGGCCGAGTTTATTCGTTGTGTAATTATGACGTACCGGTCGATACCAAAACATTCCATCCGCATAAAATTAAGTACCCTCCATATGGACCTCCCAAAATGAATAGATCCAATATGAATCAATATGATCCAATACTGAACCACGGTGTTTAGGATGGGTGTTTGATATTAGTCTAGGGGGAAGGGATTACTTAACGCCTTACAAGCGCTAGCGTTAAGTCGTATCAGCTTGTAAAAGTCGTATCGGGAGGCCGTGCGCCTGGAAAAAGTTCAAGTTTGGCATCACCACAACTTTTGGTAATTGAACGATTTCTTCGTTTTGGGGCCGTGCGCATGGAAAAAGTTCAATTTTTGTAACACCAAACTTGGGTTGATCAACGACCTGACACACTAGTCTGTCCGTTTTTCGGATATGATTTGATGGAGAAATTCACCAATTCCAAGGTGGCACATGGCAGAATTCCAGAGAAACTCCAAGGGAAGCAACTGCCAGAGGATGTTGAGACAGCAGTGGCCGCAATTTTGTCGCAATGATCCTCGGCAAAGTCTGGCACGACTGTTGGCTTTAAAGATTTTCCAGATTCGGTGAAGCTGTTCCTGCTCGTTCAGAGTGTGTTTTTCTCGTGAAGTGTAGTTACTGTAGGTGGTTGGGGACATCTCATACATTTCCAAGAGCCACCAGTTGCAGGTGAAACAACAGCACCGCAGAACTTGCTTGAAGCGTCGCTGCAGTGGCGGCGACAGCTGGAATGCTCTATATCTGGTTGTGATTCAGTCTCTGCAACTGGGCCATAATTCAAACTTTAGGAGTATGGTTGCACGCACCAGAGACTCGCAGATGTTGGTGTTATTGGCAGGTTCATGTTGATTCTTTGGTTTCTTGAAAAATCTTGGTGAAACATCAGGAAACTCTGCAGCAAACGCACATATTTTGCGGTAAAAACGCTGATTTCCGGGTCAGATTTTTCCCCTTAAACCCATCCATTGCAGGAAACTGTCCTTGATTCCACGGGCTGCAACCTGACCCCCGAAGCGCACAGCGTGCATAGTGAGGAGTTGAGCCTGGCTGCATGGGGCGAATATCAGGAGATTCCATCCGCCCAACGGGCCAGCAATCGTTGGGAAGGAGGATTTGCCGCGGTCCTCCAGGACGGCATATGGGTAGACGGTGGGTACAGTAGATGGTGGGGGTTTTGACGAGCTGCAAATGTTTGAAGAACCAACGGATATCAACTAATAATCTGATGCCATTGAACAAGAAAGACGATAATGCTCTGGAAAATGGTTTGCAAAAAATTGCCGTGGCACAGTCCCCTGGGATCCAGACCTTTGCCAAAGAGTTTGTCGAGGAGGCATTGAAAGACCTCTTTCGATTGGGTGATGAAAGATGTGGTGGCGACTTGCTTCAAGAATACGTCAGGAGATGCGAAAGCATGCAGACATCGGGTGTGTATTGGCACTCTCAAGGTAAGGCATGCATGGTTTCAAGTCCATGAATGTCCATAAAACTATGTATCTCAGCTGTTGTTTCACTGTCCTCCACACAATTTCGCCTGTGACCGGCCGAAGTCCTTTGTGAAAATGCAGCACAAAACCTCCATCGATGTGGCAGCCTACTGGGGATGAGGACAGTAGATGATTCTCCTTTGCCAATGTGGATGGTACTAGTTACTAGAGGTTGTGGCCATCTTTCAAGGTTTGATGTATTTGATGTCTTTGCCAGAGATTGTTGAGGCAATGTTGAGCTGCATCTCAATTGTCGAGCTGAAAGGGTGCATTGGTCACAGTCCTCCGCGGATTGTTGTGTTGTTGGACGAGTTGAAAGCAAAGAGGCCAGTCGGAACGGATAAGGGGCACGTCTGGAAATTGGCACATCATGGATGGGTACTTCCCCCGGTTTCGTTTTCAAACAATGTGGCTTGCCAATGTTGACGTAGATACCAAACTGTGTATATAGATTGAGACGGATTGATCCTTAATATCAACCCTCGGATTACTCAACCAACTGTTGATTCAAAATCAAGAGGTTACCCCCAACCAAAATAGTCATACAGTTGATTGGTACCACAGTTAAAATACTTTACATTTTTGGCATCATACTTTACACTGAAAATTGGTACCACTGGTTTTTTTTTCGCATCAGTTTTCGAAACAGGTCAGGATCGCTGCGCAGCATGTGGTGATCACCACCTCTCTGGGAGCTCTCAAGGCGTCGGAACTTTGCTTCGACCCCCCACTGCCGGAGAGCAAACAGATGGCCATCCAGCGATTGGGCTTTGGCACCGTGAACAAGGTCAGAGGATTTGACGCTGGGAACAAGTGGTTCTTAGACTCCAGTAATACAAGTTGAAAAGTCAGAACATACCCAACACTGATCCAAATTTTGAGTATGAAAAGAGCCTAAAGATTCCTCTGTAACACTGAGATCCACTGGATTGTGGAATTCTGGTCAAGAGATGTCAAGAGTATCTCATGCCTCAGGTGCTCCTGCTGTATCCCCACCCTTGGTGGGCTGAGCTGTGGTCAACTCTTCGCATTCTTTGGCCAGCCGATTGCGACCTGGTGCCTTGGTGGGAAAACTGTTGACCTATGGTGACCTACCATTTGGATGTTGCCATTGATGAGAATTCTCTGGAAGATCTTCCATATCTTCCACGGAATTCGATTTGATTGGGAGCTGTTGCTATGAACAGATCCTTCAAAGATCGTGTTTCACGATAGAAAATCGCGCCCCGCTGATGAAACTTAAACAGCCCAGGTGTGTTCACAAATCCAGGGTTGACATTTAAAGGAAAGCAAACATAGCACCTAAAAATGGATGGTTTGAAATTCAAAACAACGTTGTATTTAACCCCGGTACCTGACGATAAAGCACTTGATGTTGGTGTTTCCCCCGAAATTTTCAGACAAACCCAGATATACATTGCATTACATTGCTATCCCTCCAAAAATCCCACCATCCCATGGTAACTTCGTGACTCGACACATCCACCAAGGAGCCCTGGTGGCTTCGCAGCGTATACGGCTGCAGCCCGGTGGCCGACGGCCTGGAGTTCTGGATCTCGGGGCCGGCGGCGCGAGCCATGGAGAGCTGCAGCGATGCGGAGGTCATGGCGGCGCTGCATCAGCTGCTGGCGCGCCCGCGAAGGGAAGTGCCGGAGCCCAATGGCCTGGTGAGGTCCAAGTGGAGCAACGTGGTGAAATTGAAGGTTGACTATGATATATTCTATATATATATGATATAATTATATATATATATATATCATATATACATGATATAATATAAATGGCAATGTTTGGATATGATGGGAACTTGGGCTTTAAGCAACAAACATGAGGGTTAAACCAACCATTATGGGGATATACTTGGAATTTAATAGTTTTGTTCTTTTGACCATGTGTATATATATATATATACCTGCATACTAGAACTACAAGAAATAAATTGTCGTTTAGAATGTTCGATGAAGAACTGGTCGTTTCAAGAAAAAGTGGACGTTGTGCATATATTGAAAACACATCAAAATATAAACATCCCATGTTCCATCAACATTTGTAACCCCCAAAAGTTGCAGAAAAAGAAAACCCTACTAAGACTAGTTGTAAATGGATCTTGTCTATCTTGGGAATGGCATTGTGCTACCAAAGTGTGGCATCTTGGGAATCGAAAGTGATGGATGTTGCCAACAAAGACCATCGGGGACTAGCCAGCAAGGAAGGTGTGGAGCTTTATCAAAAAAATCAGGGATTTGACAGACCACTGGAAAGAGGGAAGAAACCACTAGAAAGGCCGTGCCTGGGACTTGAACATTCCTCAGTTTTTGTGAAGTGTAGCAGGTTGCAGCATTCGCCATCACCCATTTGGCCCTCCCATGGATGAAACCAGATGATACACCCAGGCAATGAGCCTGGTATTCGCGGATCTTATTCTTTTGTGCCAGTTGGAGCTACTGGAAAGGACATTGACGAATTGGCAAAACCCGAAGGTGCAGAAATGAGCCTAGCCTTTGCTGGCGAGCATACGCACCGAACGACTCTTGGCTTGGGCAGTTAAAAAGAAACACAGATAGGGGCCTGTTTTAGTGGAGAAACTTCTGTTGTAATGGGTTTTGTGTCCCACTTTTGGACATACTCTTGTGGTTTGCAGTTTCAGCTTTCATGGTTTGGCAGTTCAAACTTGTCGTAAGGTTTTACTCCACGGTTCATGGCGCTTGGTGGAGTGGCGTCAAACTCGCTGACATGTTGGTGGCCAAACACAAGGATTCAACATGATGACAAATCTACGACCAGCAGATCCATGACTTCAACGGAACCAACAGACCAACGGTAAGTGCTGAGCACCTGGAACTCAGCTGTTTTGCCCAATCAGACAAGCGAACCAGTGCAACATGTCTCCAAATTCCGAGGAGAATGAGGAAACTGCAGCTGGAAACCTCAATAAGACGGAGAAGAAAGTTCTGGAGACAGCAGCCCCCAGCTTGCCCAATCAGACAAGCGAACCAGTGCAAAATGTCTCTCCAAATTTTGAGGAGAATGCCGCGTCAGATGGGCAGGTCAAACAGGGGAACACGTGCGTGGCGGGGATGGCTTTGCTGTCCATGCTTTGGATTGGGATTCAAGTGGCCCTGCCTGCCCATGATCCTCTGGCGCGCCAGCGTCGCCAGGCAAGGCAAGCCTGTGAATTTGTTGCAAAAATCAGCTTGGCGAGTTTGCCGAACCTAGCTTCTGGATTGCCAGCAGCAGTGGGATCGTGCCCCTTGCTTCAGACAATGCCATGCACATGCTGACACAGAAGCTTCAGTTTTCGAAGGTGTTGTGAAAGGAAGGCTTGGAGAGCAATAGTGTGAGGATGGCCAGAAGGAGAGGAAGGAGGAGACCCAAGGAGGACAGGAAGGAGCAGAGCAAGGAAGAGAGGGAAGGAGAAGAGCAAGAAGGACTGCAAGGATGCAGGCAAGGAAGAAACAATCAATTTTCGAAACCACAGTTCCAATGGTAAAAAATAAAAAAAGCAAAGTTTTGACATCATTGGGGAGCCTCCCAAATGCGAAACCTGCATGCTACTGAAGGTTCAGGGTGGGAATCACAAAAACCAAAAAATTGAGCTTTTTTGACTTCATGCGATGTCACATTTGGACATGTTCGGGAAAGTTTGGGCATGGAGTGAGCCAGCATGAGCTCAGTTCAACAGGAGCCGCTTCCCCAGAAGCTTTGGCCGCCTTTCGCAAAGTTGCCCGGTGAATGCTTGTGATTCCAGCCTGTCGTGAGTAGTTGCTTCAAGAGCGGTAAGCACCCTCGTTTGTGGTTATTGAAATGTCAACCTGAGTGACAGTGTAGAGAATGTCGCGCAGCCCATTGCTGGGACACTCGTTACGTAGAAATTGCTGAGAAGCAAGCCCTGAATGTTTGGAAATGTGGATGCCTATAACTACTCGTTGCGGCCTCAGACTGTTTTGACTTGATGGGCCAGGGCGTGCCAGGGTCAAAAGCAAAGCGGCTGCAAACCCTGCATGTGGACCATCTCGCTCTCCACTGCCCGGAGACTTGTAATTTGGAGCTGTGGGTGCTGCATTTCCTGGCAATTGCCAGTGGCGGTAGCCTGGCTTCGCAGGACTTGCAGATCTGGGATGCACACAGATCGCATGAGGAGATCCTTCCGGGAAGTTCACCAGCTTTTGGAACTCCCAGTGAGACGGGATATACCACAACAGACTGTAAAAAAGAACAACAGAGACCATATAGGGACCATTGGACACCAATATTCAATATTCATGGAATTCGCGCAGAGATTTCCAGAAGCGCGAAGACGCCAACACACTTGGAGCGAGGCGCCGAGGAAGAATATTGGAGCGAGCTCTGGATGGGTCATTCTGGTTGGACCTTACCAGATTGAGGGCCTTCAGTTTGTTGGACCGTGCACCTGGAACTTCTTGGGACCGAAAAAATAGTGCCGAGGGCAGGCTGGCACTCTGTTGCAAAGTGGATCAAAATCAGCCCCAAATAGATTTCCAATGGTGAAACAGGGGGCCACTTTGCTTCCCAGCCTGGCTATCTATGGTTCCATCCTTTTGCAGTTTCTCCTAAGTGTACCTGCAGTACAGATGTAAACGTGCAGTAATTTGCCGAGGGTGTGCAAACACTTTGTTTGATATTCAAGGTTATCTAACAAGAAGCGGGTGCAGGTTTTCGCCTTTTTCTCATGCCCATTGACGCCTGGAAAACCACCAAACAGGCCAGGGCGGCTCGACAGGTTTGTGTTTCTGATGTAAACATCATATCAGCATTGTGCAGGAGACTTTTCTCAACACTTGATCGTTTGACATCAGACCAACTGTCAGGTCGAGGGAAAAGATGGGTTGCAAAAGTTGATTGAGAAAACCAAGAAGTGCCGTGGCTGCAAATGTTGCAAGGGTTTTTTTTCTCAAGGCTGGGCCCAATATCCAAACCAAAGATCCAATGGCCAAATCTCCGCCTTCTTGTCATCCTCCAAACCAGAGTAATTACCAGAGTGTTTCTTCGCAAGATATGGTTATGACATGTTATGACGGGTACCCGGTGTACCCACTTACAATATCTTACGATGCAGCAGGACGAACCATGAAACATATCAAGGTCCATCAAGTACATCCCCATTCTGGTTCCCGGAAAAAGCATCGATGACCGCTCCTCGAGCGAAAGAGTGCCTAAGCGTGACATCTCACATCCCAGTTTGTGTCAACTCAAGGCACAGCAATGGCAACTTAGATCAAGCCTCTCAGACACAGTTCGCTCATTGACTCATAGGTCTTTGGGACTTAAATACAGGATTTGGGAAAAAAGACTATGAGAAGAACAGGAAGAGTTTTGGAGAGAAACTTTGACTTTCAAAGTATCCCTGATCATTGGAGACCACCTCGAGGCATCCAACAGCTTTGTGGCAAGGCGGCGTTGGCGCAATGACTGCCACCTGGGTGGGGGACCGAGGGGGGCCATTGCGAGGGGTAGCAGTGGGTGAAAACACGACCTATCGCTTCGAGTTCCAGTCCCAGTGTTACTGTCGAGGTTGTGGATTGTTGTGGTATATTTATTAAATGTTAATTAAATTGCAGTATTCCCCGTGGCAATGATAGTCGCCTATACATTTGGAGGTGGACGAGATGTTTTTAAAGCTGGCATTTTTTTTCAGGAGCGAAGTGTTGAAAAGGATTGGCTGTTGATTCGAGTCTTGCAGACCATGACTCAGACATTTTCGATGAAGGTGGGACACTACCCATGGTTCTACACCAACAACCAGCTCCGCTGACGCCTTACATTTGTGCAGCTCGTTGCTCGGATCAGATGCCCTGGTGATTTTTTTTGGTGCCTCCAAGGCGAATCGTTGCCTCAATTTGACATCCCTTACGGCAAGTACGTTCGGCACTGAGACACTGAGACACTGAGACACTGACACAAAATTTTTGGATTGGGTCAGTGGCAAGACATTGAAGGCAAAACTGACAGCACGTTGGCATGTTTCAGATTGAGCATTTATGTACCACCAAAGACTGACACACATGGAGAATTGAAATCATTCATGATTATTCATGGTATGGCAAGTACAAAATTCTTTGAGATGGATTTCAAGCATAGCTTTGCCGCAGAAATCGCCAAGGTGAGGAACGCCTTCATCGGATTCTGTTCAGCAGCAGTGTCGGACACTTGCTGGATCCCCAGCCCCAAGACGACCACAGATTCCCAATATCCTGGCCATAGTAATCCCCGTCAATTCATATGCAGGTTTCCATAAATTCTGATATATAATTCTGTGGTATCCCAAAATGGATGGTTTATGATGGAAAATCCTATGAATTAAAATGGATGAAATCTAGGGGTACCCCTATTCAGGAAACCTTCATATTCACACAATTCACACCTAATTTTATTCAGTTCCGTGAATGTCCAATGATTCACATCTGGTGGTGACTGGAACATGGCTGGATTATGACTTTCCCAATCATATTGGGAATGGAATAATCATCCCAACTGACGAACTCACTCCATCATTTTTCAGAGGGATTGGGAAAAACCACCAACCAGACATTAAACTAAACCATCAGCAAAATCATCATTAACCATCATTAAATCACCATTAAATCACCATTTTTCATGGGTGCCCCAAAAAACCACCACCAGCTCTGAAAAAAAACGAAACCGAGGCTCCAACTCCTTGCGGGTTCTGAAGACCACGCGTCAGACCTCCTTAGAGCCAGTGGGGGTCCCGCCGATGTCGGACGTCGGACGTCGGATGTCTGTGTTTTTCATGGGGATTGAACCAACAGGGTTTTTTTTGGCACGTGATACCCTCTGGTAAACTCACAGTTTGCTATGGAACATATCCATTTATAATAGGAAAATCAACGAACTAAATGATCATTTTCAATAGCTATGTTAAATTACCAGAGGGTACTTCAAACCATTTCTATTGCTAGAAAGTGGGATACAAAAAAAAACATGGATATACATGGATTATACACTACATATTTTTTTGATAGGGGAAGTTCAAATGATTTAGTCAACCAAGTATGGTAGAAAATGTGATAAATCCAACATTGTATGGGGAGATAGTGGAATAGTGTCGGATAGATGCATCACCCCATTGTGACATATCAATACATATCATGATGTGGCTTTGTCCAAGAATGGGGAATGTACCCGTAAAACCATTAAAAAAGGGTAGATAATGTATATATATATATATGTATGTATGTATATATATATATACATATGCATGTAGGCAATATGACATTTGGGTTTGTCCAAAATGTCAAACTAGTGTGAATGGGATTTTCATGGGATTATTTTCATGGGATTATTTTCATGGGTACATTAATGGGCGATGGGAAATGTAAATGAATATCTCAGATGTGTGGTGATACGATGGGGATATCACAGACAATATCATCCATGTTTGTCCAAACACGGGTGATTTAAACCACCGACGTATGGCGATCTTATGCAATTTTGATGGGGAAAATGTCAGAAAATAAGGTACAGTGTCACACCCTCCCATAAAGCTTACGGTGACGTCCTGTGCGATTCGTCAGCGTTTCGGCTGCTCAGGTTGGCTACTTCGAATCCGCGCAGAGCTCAGTCCCAAGGATCCCAGCCCAGCCCATCCGCTGCCAATTTTGCAATGGCAATTTGGCACCAAACCAACAGGCCAAGAACATCATTGCCAACGAAGGCTACGCCGGACTCTTTGGCCACTCAGCTGAAAATGTTTGGTCGGCTTGACTGGGGTTTCCCCAGCCATTGAAGCCACTGGTGTCCAATGATTCAATGGGATTCAATGGGGGTAGCCCTAGATTTCATCCATTTTCATGCGATTTTCCAGTATGGACCATCCATTTTGGGCCCCATATATGGACCCACGCCATTTGGACAGCCCCAGCCCCAGCTTCCGCCAAGGACGTGGGTTAAAGACTCGGATCTTGACCAACGGAGTCCAAGGTGCTTTGTTCACCGTTGGTGCGGAGCCCTGGTCGTGTTTTTCGGCCAGCAGTGCTGCACCAATCTCAAAGAAAAAACTGGAGTTGTTTGCTCAAACATATTCTATAGATTTCTATAGTCTATATCAATCCACATGATCTAAGCGTAGGGAATATACAATTGTCGCAATCCTGAAATACCCTGAACAGTCCCACATTCTTCTTACAGCATTGAACCTACACATTCTACATGTAGCTAATTTGAATGTGGTGCTTTCCGTCACCGCAGTCGTGTCCCAGGTTGGAGGGCGATTTCAGACTATTTGAACAAGCCTGGCAACCAAATCGGGCCAAATGGGACGAGCTGATTGTGGTGACTGTATCAACGCGTCATCAGCATTTGGGGTGAAGGGTGCTCGAGAAAAAGGCACAGTATTTTTTAAAAGATGGGATGACAAGGATGCCAAAGATGGCATTCGCCAGGTGTGGATATAAACATACAAAGAGAAGAGATCAAAGAGGACAGTAACTCAGTAACTGGTGATATATTGGTGATCACATGTATCATCAGTAGCTGGTTATAGCTGATGATATGTTGGAGTGATTATCTGACCACAGTGTGGAATCTGGACCCATTTCGTCGCAGTGAACCAAGGCCTTCGGCCTGAAAACCGATCTTCCAAATGTCTGCCTGGACGAAGTTTGAAGGAGGTGATTATTTATTCCAGCTTTCATTCCTGGATCAAGATGGATCAAGTACTTTGCATAGTAGCCTCTGGTAAACATACAAAAGCTATTGAACATGGCCATTTAGTTCGTTGTTTTACCCATTAAAAATGGTGATTGTCCAACAACAATGGTAGAGGTTTGACATTTGAAAACTTTGGCAGCATCCATCAGCCATTGTGAATCTCGTGACACGGCCCAAGAATGGCCACCCGAATTACGACCAAGTTTCTAAGTTGAGCCAACCCCACGAATGATGACACGCTACGAGATATAAAATGTCACGGGTAAGGGACCAATACATACCAATACATACCAACACGACCTACATTAACAATCATTAACATACCAATACCAACCCTCAGAGCTGACTGCATGGCAGGTAAATTTCCTTTGCTCGGACTTCGGGATGAACTCAAGCCCCAGCAACGCCAAACACACGTTGACGACCATCAGTTCAACAGACAGCTCCTCCGACAGAGAAGAAAAAAAGATGCGGAACCCAGATGCGGTCCAGATTTTTTTTTGATGTGAATTTGTCTGAGAGAATTTAGATGAATGATCTGAAGTTGATCATAGCTTCCCATCCATCCTTGTTGTTCATTTCATGAGGGTCTGAAGTCGTGGAAGATTAATCTTTCGCAGGTGCGATCCAATCAGTACCGGGCCCTCTTCACCGGGGTGTTGCGACCTCAGAATCATGGTTTCTGATAGTTGAGTAGTGTTCGAAACCCCTGGTTGATGATTGTAGGGGGTTATACTGGTTATACTGGTTATACTATACCCAATAATATTGGGGATTATCATAATTAATCCATTATATCCCTATCAACGGACAGTATAATGGAAGGCAGACACTTTTGAGCACGAAATGTTCTTTTACCCCCCAGCAAATTGGCATAGATATGGCCCAATTTGTAGATCATTTCCTTGCGAAACCATGAGTTTTCCATATTTATGTTAGGGTTTATGAAATGATATGGAGATATATGGAGGATATCATGGATCTACTATTCTCGTAAGATGACTCCAGTCCGAAACAGAAGATGCGCTCATTGAAATCATCGGCTCGGCCAGCCACGCCAAAATCATCCAAAATCTGTGGTGTTTGAGGCAGGGAATCGACTTTGACGTTCCCATTGGCTGGGGGACCTTGGGTCGAACTTGCGACTCTGATGGTTTCTCTTGAGTCAATGGTGAGCTGGTGATATTTTCTGAGGCCGGGGACAGACGATGCTCTTTCAGGGCACTGACCCTGAGAAAGATCGGAAGTACCTGTGGTGCGGATCCGAGCGAACAGCAAGAGAAGAAGCTGTGAAGTTGTTATTTCCGCATTGGAACATGTTTTCCAGAAGTCTGACATCATCCTCATCCTCATCATCCTCATCCCCACCCCATCATCTTCAACATCCCCAACATCCCCAACATCCCCAACATCCCCAACATCCCCAACATCCCCAACATCCCCAACATCCCCAACATCCCCAACAATTCTATGGTTGTTTTCTATGTGTTTCTCATATTTCCCACCATGATTCCACCGCCGGCTTCATTGCGAGCGTTCCCTGAGGCCGGATTTGCTGGCCTCAAAGCCAGTCATGGGATCTCAGAAGGAGCTCTTCGTGAATGTCAGGAGCCAAAGATGACAAGATATGACAAGTTGCCAAACGATTCTGTCAACGAAGGGATAGATTCTATAGATGATAGTGAAGGGATGTGAAGGGATAGGTGGTTGGCCGTGTGGCTGAAAGAATGAAGGGATAGCGGGATGCATGATGAATGTGAATGACGGGCTAGTCATTTGAACATATTTGAACTGTTTTGACATGGACCAGAAACTTTTTGGGGGTTACTGGGGCTGCCTGGGGCTGAATGATTCTAACCTGTGCCCATTGGCAGCCCCTGTCAGATCCTGTCAGCGCAGATGGTCGAGCTTTGGCCTTCCCTGCCAGGTGGTAGTCTGCCGAACCCTGGATGAGGCAGAAGAGCTGCAGAGTGAACTCAAGGCGGGCTTCGATGTGCTTCGATGACTTTAACATTCACAGACTGTCTATAGGTTAAAACCATGGCACTCGTAGCATGTTAAACTTGGAAACGCCCCCAAAATGAACAAACTAGAATGTTCACTTGCCCATTGCTGAGGGATACTTGGTTTTGACTAATGTCTCTCACAACTTTTCACAGTTTGGTGCCTTCCGGGGGACAACAAGAAACGCATATTTCACTGCACATGTCATTTGAGTGAAGGGCATGTTGTTGTTCATTATGACACTTTATGACACTCTATGACACTTTATGACACTTTATGACACGTTATGACACTTTATGACACAATGTATTCCGAATTCCCACATCATTGGTTGTAAGTAATCGTCCCATGGTGCGTCAAGATGGAACTTCTGCAGGCGCGAGGCTGCTGGGAGAATTGCACCATCTTTGTGCTCGGATCCTGGATTGCGCATCCTGGATTGGGTCAGCCCCAAAACCTGCTATTGTGGATTAGGAAATTCAAGGGTTTGATATGGTTTGATGGGTTTTTCATATCTTTTCATCAATTTTGTCATATCTGTTCATCAAAGATTTGTTCATATCTGTTCATCAATTTTGGATATATGTGGATTTTGACGCGAAAACCTCCCGGATCAAGAAGCCAGGCCCATCTCGGACGATCCGGCATCAAGGCGCAAACCAAAATCAAAAAGTCATGAAACATCCCATTTCGAAAGATAGAAAGTACATGAAAGATCATGAAAGTACGACTTCCACTACTTCAGATTTGACTTTTCGTTCAGGGAAAGTGGTTGCAACTTTCAGGATGATCGCCATCAATGCGGCTGCTGCCTTCGCAGAGTACTTCGGTGAGGAGGCCATGGAATTAGCCTCTGAAAATCGAACATGGCACTGGAGAGTCCACCATTTATAGGTCCTATAGCTGATATTCCCACTATAAAAACCTCCATGTAATTCGGGGATTTCCCAGCCATGTTTGATTACCAGAAGGTATATGCAATTATTGGGCTACTCAACTACGTGCAGCCATGGCCCCGTTTCGTGGCAGGGCGGCGAAGGAGTGGTCTTGTGTGACTTCGAAGCGATGCACGACGTTTGGAATGTGCTGGCTGAACTTGCTGGCCAGGAGATTCCCGACCGGCTCTGGCTTGACCTGAAGATACCCTCCAAGATGGGGCAATAGCTCGCATCTTCACTGGCTTGTATCTGTACAAAGATATAGAAAAACAGAGAAAGGCCATGAAACAGATACCCTCTGGTAAACTACCATAACTATGGAAAATCACCATTTTTTATGGGTAAATCCACTATTTCTATGGCCATTTTCAGTAGCTATGTTTGTTTACCAGAGGGTATCTACAAACCAGTTCTGAACATCTCCAAATTCTGGCGTTGCAGGAGAGAGCTGCCCGGGGTCTTCTGATGGATCCCAAGGACTGGGGGCAGGAATAGCACCTGGAACCGCCGTGAAGATGAAGCGGTCAGAATGTTCCAAGAGCCCTCAATGGGTTTAGCAGTTGGCATTTGATGACGATGGTTCAATTTTATGTTGAATAGTGTTGAATAGTGTTGAATGGGTTTTGAATCCATTTGATGACTGGAAACGCTGCTAGCAAACGCAACTCGTGCCATGATTTGTCCAGCCATGCATCGCTTCCCAAAGTTGATGCCAGACTGCTAGACTCATGGCATCCGAACCGGCAGGGTTTCAGTTGGGTAGCAAACTCACGTTCTCCACTTTTTGAAAATGTGTTTTCTATCAAACGTTCTCATGTCATGTTTAGAAGCTAATGATATCTTTCAGGTTTTGCACAGGTTTTCAATGGTTTTTTTAATTATTTATAGCCGAAATATGCCTGCAGACACTCCCACAGGGTCACTCGCAGGAAGAGCAATGGGTGCAGATGCAGGGCACGGCCGGGGACTTGATGGTTGGGTCGCGCCATGGTTTCCGTGGGTTCCAATTTAGTAATTATAAATTGATGGGATACGTGTCATCAGGTGTTTTTTGGTATCAATATCACCTATTGCCTCAATATATAATGATCTATACTGGTTATAATGTGTTATGATGAAACCCAAGATGATACCATTGTAAAATAGGTGTCATAAATGGATCTACTAATAACTAGTTTTTTTTTTCCACAGGTGATCTAACCAGAGAGTACCGTCGAGTTCTGGTTGCTTATCTTCCAACTGATGCAGAGCTTTTGGAGTTTTTAACATCCACAGCTTGGCTCAATCGCTAAAGTTTGAGTTTGGGCAGCTTTCGAGCCACTTGACTCACCAGACTCACTTGACTCGCCTGACTCACTCACCTTATCTCAGACCATTCATAGCAGTTGCATCCATTTGCTAGCTTGGAAACGATGCATTTTTTATAGGATCGGTTGATCAAGTTTCTGGAAGTCATACTTATAAACATCAGATTATCAGTGGTTTAGCAGATTATCAGATCATTATCTACTTATAATTAGATCACATCAAATCAGGTCAGATCAGTGGGTGCCAGAGCAAAGGCAGCTGAATCCAGTAGATCTGCACAGCACCGAGCCCACCATTCGCGCATTCGCGCCACGGGGCAGAGAATTCACGACCCAAACCTGACGAAGCAGACCCTCAATGATTCGCCAGACTTGGGAGGATCACTTCTATGGTCGAGGCAGGAGGTTTTTTTGACAAAACTTGGGGATTTGACCCTGATTTGACCAATAAAAATAACAATTTCATGCAGTTTCTAATGGGAGACATCCCATGCGCCACTGGATTTTGGTGGTATCCAGCAGTTCTTTCACTGGGGATGGGCATTGGGATCTACCAGTTATTCTGCGCTTTGCACCGGGGATTTCTTATTAAGAATGAATCGCATTGAATAATGCCATGTAAAAACAATTGAACTATATTGCAACATCATGTAGAAACAGTTAAACATGGTTAAACAATGTTACAAAACACACCTCAAAAAAATAGAACGATGAAACCAGTACTTGCCCAGTAGCCATGGTATCCCTGTGGCCAGTGCTCCAGGCTTTGGAAGGTGTTGCTACAAGGTCTATGAGTCCACCGCGGATCTCAGCAGATGGCAGACCAAGTCCAGACCGTTGCTTGGAGAGGATGGGATGGGTGTGAAACTCACAGGTGATGTAGAAAAGTGGTGGATGTAGAATGATCTGGAATGGTTTAGAATTAGATGAACTGAGGTCCAATAGATAGATATATATATGATATATCCATCCATAGTTGGATGGTTTTATCAACCATCAATAGTTGCGGAGCAACCTGTGGTTCAGGTGTTCAGGGCTGCCCCCCGCTTAGAGAAAGTATGGCGATCGTTTGACATACCAAGACACTGTATGGTTTGCTTATGTCTTGTGGATGGAAAAGTGCCCTCATGGAATTTGACCATCATCCAAATGGATGATTCAACTAGTTTTCTCAGAATTATTCAAACATATTCAAACCATATGTTCTAATTATATCGTCGTCGTCGTCATCTTCTTCTTCATCATCATCTTCTTCTTCATCATCATCTTCATCATCTTCTTCATCATCTTCATCATCTTCATCATCTTCTTCATCATCATCATCATCTTCTTTTTAATTATCATAATCCAAATGCAAATTATCAAAATCCAAATGCAAGTTCTTCAAACCTTCAAATCCAATCATCTTGGATCCACAGAAAGCCGGGACTCAGGTGGTTGGTGGTTTGGCTTCACGGCATGGATCACGGCTTCATCAGTCCCGAAGAGTTGGAGACCATGCAGCGTAGGCCGGATCGGCCTGTGGGGACTACTGGTAAACGTTTACAAAAAGCTATGGAAAATCACCATTTTTAATGGGAAAATCCACTATTTCTATGGCCATTTTCAATAGCTATGTTAAATTACCAGAGGGTATACTGTACAGTATATTTTTGGGGTATGTGGGCTATGATTTAGATTGATTTAGGGAGTTAAGTAATCCTAAGTAGCTTCCAAGGTACTTGGATCATCTTGGACTCATAGGGACTGTACAACCAGCCAAAAAAAACGAATTGCTTAGAGAATGATTTTTTGTTGTTTTAACCCCCAAAGGACGGACTTGGTGGCATCGCAGCAGGTTGAACCGCCGCGTGGTCTTCATGGTGCCTTTGAATCCAAAGGAGTGGAATGGCCTACACTTCAATTGGGGTTGTGCCTTCACTCGGGAGCAGAACAAGAAGGCCGGGAATGGCCTTCGCTCAGCAGTTCCATCTTGTGGCCGATGCCTTTCATGTCTTGTGGTCCGGCAAGATGTGTAGGGTGAATCATGCACTTGACACCAGAGCAGGAAATCAAGGATGTAGTTTTGAATACGGAAAGAAACAGCGCGACAGAGATACAGATGTGGAAAATGAAAGTGGGCATGACATGAGAGAAAGAGCGGTGGCAAAGTCAGGGACTCGCAGTAGGAAGATGTGACCAACATGATCAAAGGATGAGAGTGGAAGACAAGGGGCAGCTGATGGGTCTCTCATGTTCAGCAGGGTGATCCAAAAAGATCTGTGGATCACTCTGGCTGAAAGGCACGGCAGGGTTCTGCATTCATAACCGCTAATTAGGCATCAAACAAAGAAAATCATCAGGAGCTTGGAAAGGAACATCGATCGCATGGGATTGAGATAGATTGAGCATATGGAACACAAAAAATACATGAGGTAGTGGACTTGGACAGCAAAATTGTAGGAACGAATGTTCAGAACAGAAAGGATCTTCAGCAGCTGATGCTTTCGGATGTTTCGGGACAGCGGAAGCAAGGAATGCTGCAGCATGTCCGACGAGACCCAGAGTCCCTTCCACTTTTCAGGTGATCCATGGCGAGTGTCGCAGACGGGAGCGAAATCACGAGAGATTCTGAATGACCCATGACTCATGATGACTCATGACAGGCCTAGTGAATCTGTGTTGAGGAAGAGGTGAGTTCAGGGACTTGTTACTTCATGCGCTTCATGTTGGGGACATGTTGCTCGAGGCTATACGATTTCAAGGCGTCAGCCGCAGGTGGTGAACGTCCAGCAGTGTTTACTTTTCAGGATCTAGTCTCGATAGTCTCGCCGACGTTGGCACCGACATGAATTCTTGTGGACTCCGGACTTTCGAAGGGCTGAAGGGCGAATGAAAAACGCTTTGCAGTGTGACTGTGAGGAGGTGTTCCTTCGACTTAGTGACTACGGACCGCAGTGACAATGGTGGCCATATGTGGCAAGATGTGGCAATCCTCACGACCACGCAGTGCTCCTTTTCCTCATGCCCACGACATATCGGACATATCACATGCACTTCCCAGGACTTCGGTTTCCCCAAAACTTCCCGCAGTGATGTCTCCTGCTGCGGCTAGGCCTGATAAAACGAGACAAATCGATTGCGAGACAAAGCAGGCTCCAGTGGCAGTGATGTTTTCCAAGGTGAGGGGACCGGATCAGAGTTGAGGTCCTTCATTGTTTGAAGGCCTGTTTGGATGATACAGAAACAGATGAAAACAGAATTTGGATGCAGATGCAAAGCTGAGTAGGACACGAGCTGGCGAGATTCAGACAGGGTACTGCAGTTGTTCAGGTATTGTAGGAGGTGGCACGGATAAGCTCATGTGTTTGATTGTTCAAGCAATCCAGCAGAGATTTGTCAATTCATGATGATTCATGATGTGTGTGTGTGTGTTCCCAAGAGTATTGGTGGTGGTGGTGGTGATCTGTGTAGCGTACAATTGAAACACTGAACATGTATCACTCTATGCCAGGGGAATCAACACAGAACACAGCTGAACACGGAGCTCACAGCTGGCTATGAGCAACAGGAAGAGAGTAGAAACGAGCAAGCAACCCAGAGCGGACAAAGGAAAGACAGGGGCACCGCCCAAGACCCGTATTGGTTGTCTTTTTTTGCGTCATGCTGTGTGACTAAACCCAAGAATAAACCAGACCCCATTTAAAAAAAAACATCGTTTGAAGTTTGAAGGGTATCGAAGATTATACCCCCAGAAGTGGTTTACTTTTGGGTTTACCACATGGAGTGCTTTAATGAGAGGAGTTGTAGCCCACCATGGGAATCTGTATTGACCCACGAGAACGGGGTGAGCGGCACATCAAGCAGATGCAAAGCGAAAAGCAAAGGACATGTCCAGAGGTCACAGATTGACAGTCAAGTGAAATCAGAAGGCAAGTCACAGCAGAACCAGGGCAGCAAGCGGATGCAACACATTTGGAAAAGGAGAGAATGCTATGAAAACATTGTGCACATATGAAAAAGAGAAACTCGAGAAAATGAAACGCTGGAAGTCATCGGCCTAGGGCCTAGGGAAAATGCATGGCAAAACAGGGATGCCAAACGAACGGAGGTGTGCAGAGTGCGCAGAGCATCGGATGGCCTTTGGCCTTTGAGGTGTTAAAAAAGTAGCCGAGAGAGAGCTGGAGGATGGCTGAGCTCCAGCTCAGAATTTGGCATCATGTGGGACAGCGACAGCGGAATCGGAGTCGCAGCTAGGGCACCAAGATGTAGTGGATCTAATTAAATGGTAAACGGATGGATAAAGATGAGCAGCTGTTTCACAAACACGAGTAAATGGCTTGGATTGGCAAAGGGAGAAACATTGAGAATGCTTGAGACGTAAGCCTTCGTTAAGGGATGGGGAGCAGGGTCTTGGGTTTGGAATGGTCTAGACTGGTTTCGATGTACAATGTGGATCAATGTGGAACTTTCCCAAGCCTCCAATCACCGTTGGGAACGAGCCTTTTTGGATCTTTTTCTGGGGAATTAGCTTCAGTGTTTCCGGGGATGCCACCGGATCCACAGAAATTCACAGAAAATCTACAGAAGGCAGAAATCATCAGCTGAAGACGGGCAAATCCCACATGACAAGTGACAGCTCTTTGAGCCTCGGTGAAGGCTCAAATGAAGATTTCAAGAGCAGCACCCAAAGTGAAAAGGAACAGAATTTCAGATTGACAGAAAAAATGGATCTCCATAGCATATCCGGCATGGGAGGAGTACTATCGAATACCCAAGAGTTGGGGCCATAGGCCATAGGTCGCAGACACCAACAGACCCAATCGTGGTGCCAAATGCCCATTTCTCTAGGAGCTCGGTTTCGTGAACGGCTTCCTTCACGACGAGTTCTTGACCACCTTTGCTGCAACCATTGCGAACGTGGCACAGTGGTACAAGGCTGAGCGAACTGTGGCCATGGGGCACCTTGGATTTGGATGTGGCGAAAGGGGGATTAGTGTTTACTCAATCCACTAATTTGGAGAAGTCATGCCTAGTTGTTGTATATCATTGTATGATTGGATCTATTGGATCTACTATTGGATAGGATGAGACCTCTCGAAGTTTCCTCTCCGGTTTGTTTCACCAAGTTTACCCCCCAATCTCCGGTAACCGTTGTGTCATTTTCTCCCATTTTCTCCGGTCCCAGGTATTCGATGGGTGGTTTTGGGGCGTTTCAACTGGGCTGTCGGGCGCCTGACACCTTTGACGCCGTGGTCTCTGTGGCGGGCTATGGCCTGGGAACCAACTCCAAGGATGCGCCCCAACCCTATAGCGGTGCCTTGGATCGAATCCGGATTGGAAAATCGTGACTCACTTAGCATGGCCAAGGCATGCCATGGCCCAAGAAATGGGGTGATTTGAGTCATGACTTGTGAATTTCAATATGTTTCAATATGTTTCAATATGTTTCAATGACTTGATGGATCTTAGGTTCACTTGATTTCCCTAAAAACGGGACGATGATTCCCCAGTCCACGAGTGCATTTTTGGGATGGGTTGAAACCACCGGTCAGAAATGATGTAGGCAAAAGGACTTTCCGTGAATGTCCCCAGCTTCTTGTCACCGTTTGGAGAGCGTATCTCAACCACTTTCGATGTTGATGACATGATCCATGGAATCCCCCGGATGTCCTGTGGAGATGTCGTGCCCAGGTCGTGTCTTTTGGAATTTCTTGGAATACGAGGCCACTGCGATGGCCAAAATCCCAGTGGTGCTGGCCATCCACGCCAGGAATGATCGATTGTCCTCCTTTGGAGATGTCGGCTCCTCAGGGGACTGTAAAATACAGCACTGTGGCACAACTTGTGAAACCAGGGGCAGTTTGAAAAGCAGAGTTGAAACTCATGGCAAGCATCAGAGATATTTGAAGTGGACTGAGTGTTGGTTGGTCCTTATATTTTGAATATGTTGAATTATTTTGATAATATTATATAATATATAGAACATAGAATATTATATAATATACTAATTGTATATATATATAATTATTAATTATTATTATTATTAATTATTATTATTAATTATTTTTATTGTTGTTGTTATTATTATTATTCTTGTTGTTATTATTGTTATTATTTATTATTTATTATTTATTATTTATTATTATTATTGTCCACAGGAAAGCAACTGATGGCTTTGCGCGGGGCTCAAGCCTCATGTCTCCCCAACTGGTTCTAGGCTTCATTGTCGAAGGGCTTAGGACTAATATTTGGGGGTTGGGTTGCCCTAGCTACTGTACCCAACCATCAGCAGGGTTGCTTGGCTTTGTCTTCCTGCTGGGCTGGCTTTGTGGGGTGTTTCTTGTCCTGGGCTTCTGCTTTTGGCTGATTGGACTCCCCAGCCACTCCCTGTCTTTTGTGCACCGGCCATCCACTGCTCATATCATCTCCCGTGCCCAGGTTCTTGCTTCCTACTTGCATGAGCCTGCTCCCCTCCCACAACGACGGAGGAGTTGAATTGCGTGTGGATTTACCTGGTGGCCTCCGGGTTGTGGTTTCTGCTCCAGCTTCGTCTGCTTCCCTTGCTGCTGAGCTCCTTGGACACATCTCGCTTTTCCAAAGCACATCTTCCTCTGCCCGGTCTGACTTCTCTTTTGATTTGGTGTCTGCTGCTGGTGACCCTGAGCCTGAGCGTCCTGCTACTGAGCGTGCCCCTGAGACCCGTGATTCCATTTTGGCTTCATTCAGTCCTTGCCCCTCTCGGCTTTTTGTCCATACTGGTCGTCTGTCTGGTTCGAGCCTCTCGGGTAAGGACAGGATTCATCGGGCTTGGCTTGCTGGTCAGTGGGCTGGCGCAGTTCGAAGTTCAAGGATTGGCAGTCCAAACAGGACACCTGCAATTGACCTCAGGCCTCGCTTCTACGCAGTCCTACGGGCTGACCACTTGGAGAGACCCACAATCTTCAAGTCTGCGGCAGGCTACTGGAGGTGCATCGGAAGTCTGGAGAATAGCTCTTCAATCTCCCAGGCTTTCCCAAGTGAACTTGAGGCGAGGATCTACCTGGAGGCAGCTGGTGAAGTCGACGTGGACACTGCCCCCTAGTTGCAACCATGGAGCATACGGAAGCATTGACCTTGCAAAGTTTGGTCACTCTGCAGTCGGATGTCGAGCCCTATCTGTTGGATTGGCCTACCGTGGGTGCCATCGGTTTGTCCGAGACTCTGGCTTTGGTGGTGATGGTTCGTCCTGGAGGTTTCCTGGTGGCTGTTCCCGTTGGTTTTATCCCGGCCTCAGTTCTGGACGTAGGAAACTCCTCATCTCCTCCGGGTCCTGTCGGTCCATCCACTGTGCTCTCCGTCCCTGGCGCTGTCTTGGACAACGGTACTCTGTCTCCCACGGGTTCCTCTCTGTCTGTGGTCGTCGTGGATTTTGCCGAGTCCCTTCTTTCTCAGTTGCATCCTCTTCCAGCCTTTTCAGAAGTTCAGTTTGCCTTCGACCCCGAGCAACCTTATGCAGTTCCTTCTCCTTTGGTCTTAGTGGCTCGAGTCAAGGAATGGTTGGAGGCTGGAGGAGAAAGTGGTCCTATGGGCTATGTCACAGCAGTCACAGATGTGGAGGACATAGATGGCGTGGAATTGGAGGAGGGAGATCTACCCGAGATGGAAAGCCCTCCAGAAGCTTCGACGCCTCCGAGAACACCAAAAGAAAAGAAGCCTTCTCGGCGCACAGCTCCTGGGCCAGGGCGGCCTTCCACTGGAGAAAAGCGGCACACCGTCGCAAGCTTGGCGTCCTCCCTGCACGAGCTGATCCAGGTGAACACAGGTCTGTCTCAGCAAGTGCAAAACCTTACTCTGCGACAGCAAGATCTGGAAAAGAGGACCATAGCTCCTTCTCAAGCGTTGGTTTCCCCCCATGCACTCTTGCGCCGGCCCATCTCATCGGTGTTGGACAATCAGTCAGCAAAGCCCTCAACCATTGCCCAGGCGATTGGTGCTCCCCCGCGAACAGCTGTGTCTATGAGCCCGGGACTGTTGCAATCTCCTTTGGTGAAGCCCCAAGACCTACTGGAATTGGAGGAGGAGAAAGGCGAGATGGACCCATCTATCTCCAAAGATCCCCTGGCTCAGGCTGTGCTCCAACAATCGAGAGCGCTCACAGCTCTGGTGTCACAGATAGCAACTCAGAGTGCAGACCCCTTATTGGAGCTTGGCGCAGGGACTTTTGGTGCCAGTACCAGAGGTGCACAAGGCAGAGCGAAGCTACAAGGGGAGCTAGCAGCCCAACGTGGATCCTTCTTCAACTCGGTGTTGGCCTCTATGGCAAGGAGAATGCAGCCTACCATGTCCACCGAGGGGAGCCCCGAGGAGTTGATGATTCGAGGCATATCGGGGACCAGATACTTGGAGCGTTTCGGTGGTTTTGGGAAGCATCGAGAATTGGGGTGCCTTCAATTTCAGGTGATGACAATCATGGACTTTTTGCAGGTGGGGAACCTACCAGCAGCTCGGGACGCAGTGTCGTTGCTGGCAGTAACAATAGACCAGGCTGCCTTGGACAACGGAAGGTTCGACCTGGCCAACCTTCTATCATTACAGGAAGACCCACCGTCGCAGATCTTCACTCACAAAGCCCCCAACGTGCTCTCAAAGGCGCGGGCGTTCACTCCTCTGGCAAATCAGCAATGGATCACGGTGGCTCTTGCATACGTGAAAGAACTGGATTTGATCTCAGCAAAGAGGTTGGAATTGGCAGCACCTCAAAAGTCAAATCCATTTGCCAGCTCCTCTCAGGTGCCCGACCCATCAAAACCCAAGGCTGCTCCCAAGAAGAAAGGAAAAGGGTCAGGAAAAGGAAATCCTGCCCCTCAACAGGATCAGGAAGGGGAGGACTAGACAAGGCCGGTTCGGCCACCTATGAGCCTGGAAAGCCTGAGGGGCTGGTGTCAAACCCTCTGACTTCCAGGATTTCTTTCCATCGATGGATTTCTTGTCTCCCTCGCTGGATTTTGAAGACCCACACAAAGCTTGCTTGGTGTCTCTCACGTTCCTTTGCGATTCTGCGGCGTTCCTCTGAGACGTCTTCCGCACTCTTACCATTGCCCTTGTTTTCTTTGGATTGCTTCCGTGGTAGTGGCCCTGGCTTGTCATGCAAACGCTTCCGATCACTCTGCAAAGATCGGCTCCTCAATGTCTGGACTTTGGTACTGGACTTTCTGTACCTGGGGAGATGGCCAACTGTTGATGAGCTCAGGAGGTGTCCTTCACATGAACAGCTTGCGATTTTTCGGCGGCTTAGGACCTACTTGAGTGCGTGTGGTGAAGCCCAGGAGGAGTTTTCTCTGTGCCCCGGCCGATCCAGCCCCGAATTGGCTTCTGCTTTGTTTCACCTTGAGTCTTTTTGCATGTCTTCTCCGGCCTTGCATACGGGTTACATGGACGATGAGCCTGTGCCTTTTGCGTCAAAGTCTGGACTTTTGTCGGCAGCCGAGTTCCCTGAATTGTTGCCATATCGTTCCTTGGATGCTGATCGTTTGCGGTTGATCGGTGAGGGACTGTGGAACATGGAATCCTTTCTTGACGGGCCACTTTGGCTCCCCTTTCAAGAGCCTGCCTTTTTGCGTCATGGACTGCCTATTTCACATGAGGATCTGCCCAATTTCTCTGCTGAAAATCCAACCGAGTGTTTGAAGCTTGCAAAGATTTGGGACAGACGTGGACTTTTGATGTTGTTCGCTGAACCTGCAGTGCCTGGCATGTTTTGTAGGACTTTTAATGCTTACAAAGACCATGATCGGGACCGGCAGATTGGGGATAGGCGTTTACCAAATCTGATGGAATATCATATTGATGGCCCTTCCAAACAACTGCCTCAAGGCTCCCAGTTGACTTGCTTGCGCGTTCCTCGGTTCACGCACATTCTGAGGGGATCCATCACGGATCGTCGTGACTTTTACCACCAAGCTAAGGTCACCTCAGAACGAGCTCAGAGCAACATGATGCCTTTCTCATACCCCTCCCATGTGTTTGATGAAACTAGGGCCATGCAGGATCTTGTCAGTCGTGCACGGTGCCCTGAATCGAGTCAGCGGGAGGTTGTTGGCGACAAGCTTGGCCAGCAAAGGGTTTCAAACAAGAAGGGAAAGGGATTGCTGGTGCCTGAAAGGTTGTATCCTTGTTTTTCCTCGCTCTTTCAAGGAGATCACTTGGGTGTTGAGTTTGCCCTCAGGAGCCATAGCCTGTTGCTTGAGAATCATGGACTTCTTTTGCCTCAGCACCGCTTGTTGGGAAACCGTCCTGTGCCTGCCGGTCCTTGTTGGGATGCACTTGTGATTGATGACTATTTTGCAATTGGCTCTCAACGCCTTGGCAGTGACCCCAAATTAGGTTTTGCCCATGTTGCTCTTGACGTTGCAAGAAAGGTTTATCATGATGAAAGGCTGTTGGGTTCGGATGAGAAAGATGTGGTTGCCAGTTTTGAATTCAAAGCTGCAGGCGCCGAAGTGCGCTCCTGCCCAATGAATGCTAGGCGTGGTATTGTGCCTGTCGGTGCTCCTTTGGCCAAGAGGATTGCCTTGTCAGTTGTAACCTTGCGTGCTGCATGCCTTCCTGGGATCACTTCGAGACTTGCCTCAAGATTGGCGGGGAATTGGGTATCTGTCCTGCAATACAGAAAATGCCTCTCTAGCCTGATTGATGGATTTTTCAAGCTGTCCAATGCATGTTTGGCTGAGAGTTGTCCCCAGGTGCACAAGCTCCCCCGACCCATTGCTTGTGAGTTGGTCTCCTTTGTCGGCTGTTGCTCCCTTGATGTTTTCCAATGTGGCTGTGGACTTTCTTGGAGAAGCCTTCGCCTCAGATGCCTCCAATCAGAAAGGGGCAATTGTGTCAACATGCGTTGATGAGCAGGTGCATGAGTCTGTATGGCTTTGTGCTGACAAGAAGGGCTCTTACACCCACTTGGACAATGACTTCCGAGCTATCTTGCGCCAAGTTGGTGAAGTTGATGATGACTGTGAAACTGCTTGCCCAGGTTTTGTTCAGGAACCGATTCGAAAGCAGCCCCTCATGTATTTCGATTTTGTTGAGATCTGTGGTGGGGCTGGAAAAGTCAGTGATGCAGTGCGCGACATGGGCCACTCTGTAGCGCCTGTGCTGGATCTCTCCAACAGCAGACACTATGACTTGTCCTGCCTTCGGCTTTTGGAATGGATCATTTACATGTTGGAGGAGAACCGGTTCCGTAGTTTCCTGATTGCTCCACCCTGCACCAGTTTCAGCCCGGCTGCTCACCCAGCGGTTCGAAGCTACAGGCAACCTCTTGGCTTTGACAGGTTGAACCCAAAGACCCTCAGAGGAAACATCTTGGCTTTTAGAGCTCTGCTCCTCCTGAGGGTCGGCAAGAGGTACCGACGTCCATGCGGCCTCGAACAAAGCCGACTCAGCAAGATGTGTTGGTTGGAGCTTTGGACTTGCTTGCGCTCACAGGGTTTTCTGGAGGCTGTCATTGCTTCATGTGTTTTTGGATCAATCCATCGCAAGGAATTCCGGTTGCTTTGTTACTTGCTTGATGTTGAGTTTCTTGACCGCCGTTGCCCTGGAGGCCATGCACATGTGAGGGTTGAAGGGTCTTACACGAAAGCCTCAGCAGTTTATGTCGATGGACTTGCATGGCACTTGGGCTTGGCCTTCCACAAGGCGTTGCGAGCTTTGGACTTTGCTGATGACCTCTCCCCTAGCGTTGATGGACTTGAGACCCCTCTTGCAAATGATCTCATGGCTGCCTCAAGATGGAAAACTGTCCGGTCATGGTTTTGGAAGAAAGTTGCGCACATCAATGTCCTTGAGCTTGCCTCAGCTGTGTCCAACCTTGGCTCTGTAGCAAAGAAGCATTCCTCGGTTAGGTTCGTGAATTTCCTTGACTCTGCAGTGTGCCGTGGTGCCCTTGCAAAGGGAAGGTCTGCCTCTTATGCTCTGCAACCTGGGCTTAAAAGAGCTTGTGCCCTTTGCATTGTGGCTGATCTGTACCCTGCTTGGCCCTTTCCCCCTACCCGGTTGAATGTAGCTGATGACCCGTCCAGGGAACTTGAGCCCAGGGAGCCTGCTGCAAACTCGATTGTCAAAGCTGGTGGACTTTCCCTACTGATGCACCTGATCCAAGGTCTTCGACGTCATGCTGCAAATTGGGTCCGCCTTGTCCTGTTGGTTTCCCTTGTCCCTCCTTCCACTGCTTGTGATAGCCCTGTGGATTCGACCTTTTGTTTTGGAGATATGGCTACGTGTTTCCTCGGGATGTTGGTTGGCTTTTGTGCCTCTGTGACGCTTTGGACTTTTGTGGCCTGCTGTGGATTTCTTGTCCTTCGTCCCCTCTGTCCAGTCATTGTTGGGTACAGTAACAGTAGCCCCAAAATAAGACCTAAGCCCTTTAGGAAACCGGTGCGCGTTGCCATGGTGCTGTGCCTTCTGGTTAGCCAGACCTGTCAGGTAGCTGCAATGAACATGCATCCTACAACTGAGGTCGAACGACAGCGAATGACAAGGAGGGAGGGAAACCATCTGGTGGCCACGAGAGCAATCAAGAAGCAGACCAGGGACAAGCGATCGACGTATTTGGATTGGTTTCGACGCTGGCTGTGGGATCAAAAGCAGGTTTCTTTCAAGTTCCTCATTGACCAAAAGCCACCGGACCCTGAAAAGCTGGCCTCCCTCCTGGTAGAGTATGGCAAAGAACTTTACAGGTCGGGGAAGGCCTATGGGGTCTACGCCGAGACAATCAACTCAGTTGCAGTTCAGCGACCGCTGATCAGGTGCCAATTGATGTCGGCGTGGGACCTAGCTTTCGCATGGCTGGCTGACGAACCCCATGCTCACCATCCTGCCATGCCCTTGTCTTTGATGGCCGCGTTTGTGGTGGTGGCATTACAATGGGGATGGCCATATGAGGCTGCGGTCATCCTCATGGCTTGGACTGGTGTGATGAGAATTGGGGAAGTCCTGGCAGCAAAACGCCGGGACTTGATACTGCCCTGTGAAGCCGCTCCAGGCACCTCCTTCATGCTGATTATTGTGCATCAGCCGAAGACTCGGGGGAGAGCTGCGAATCACCAAGCAGCTCGTATCGACCAGGAAGATGTGATACGTTTTCTTTCTGCAATGTATCGAGATGCCCCTGGAGACTCAGCTGTTTGGCCCCATTCCGCAGCAACCCTACGAAAGAGGTTTAGTCACCTCCTTCGAGCGCTGGAGCTGCCGACGTCCAAAGCAGGTGGTCATCACCCTTTTGATTTGGGGTCAATGAGGCCTGGAGGAGCGACTTGGCTCCTTCATCAAACAGAAAACCCTGAATACGTACGCCGTCGAGGCAGATGGCTGAGCTCCAGAGTTTTGGAAGTATACATTCAGGAAGTTCTGGTCACAACCTTCATTGAGCGACTTTCGCCTAGAACCAGATTTTTAATCGAACTCTGCTCAGGGGACTTTGCTGTCACTGTCGAGCGCTCTATAGCTTTTCTTGACAGCGGCATTCCCCCTCCAGTGTGGTTCAACCTCTTCAAAACTGCAGCAGCCTTTCCTATGAAGAAAGACGGAAAAGATGGAAAAGGCGGTGAGAAAACATGCCAGGATTGGAACAACTCCAACCTTGGGCCTGATGATGAACCATCCCAGCAGAAGAGCAAAAAGTTTGAGGGCGCTATTCCTATTTATTATTTATTATTTATTATTAATTATTATTATTATTATCATTATTATTATTTATGATTATTGTTATTATTATATGTATAATACAGAATATATAATACTCATAAGCTGTGTTGAAGATGCTTCGCCAGGTTGACCATATCATCTCCACGGTGGATGACCGGGCCAGAAAGGACGGCGAGTCCTGTGTGGCCAAACTGGTCACCATGCCCACGTGGATGGCGAACTCTGACAATCCTCGCAAGCGAAAGAGGCATGGAAAAACCATGGGAAAAACCCATGGATGAATTTAACCATGACTTGAATTTCCATGACTTGAAAACATGACTTTTCCGAATGTTCCCCTTAAATGGGCCCAGGAACATTGAAAACATTGATAAACCGGGCTGGGCCTTGAGGCTGTGAATGGGTTTTAGTGTCAATCCTCTGATTTCGGTGGGTTAAGCAGGCTTTAGGGCTCAACTTGAGAAGCAAAAGGAATATGTGTGGACCATTGATTTGTTGGGCCCTATTGGGCCCATGGTTGCTACAACTGTTGAAATAAGGAGTCCGACACTGCCAGGTTGAGTATGGATAGCAAGTTTTGATGTTGGATTGTTTTCTTCAAGCACAGGGATCAGGTCACCGGAGCAAAAAAACCTTTGGACATGCATGGAAATGCAGTGCTTGGTGAATTGGGGCATTGCTGTTTCGGGGTGACACTGGCAGTTTCAGATTGATTCAGAGAAGGGCGATTTCGCAGAGTTTCCGTTGCGTCAGGAAGAGCAATCACGGCTATTTTAACTGCACATTCATGGACGACTACAGCAACCAGTATCTCTGGAATGAGCTGCAACAGCTCCTGGATGAGAATACACAGGGCCAAGGCAGAGACTGTGGAAATCGTGGAGATTTGTCAGTGATGTGGGTAGCACCATCCCCAGTCATCCCCATTTTTATAGGTGGTATGGTTACCATTTCCAGGAAAATGGGTGGTTTATGATTGTTTTACCATGTTTTACCCACATTATTCCTGTGCAACAAATTCGCGAGCAATGAATGTGATCAGATATGTTCATTCGCAGTCCAGGTGCTTTCACATATTCTTCAGAGATCTTCAGAGTTTCCACGGGAGACTTCCACGTCCCCGATTGTCGTCAGGTGACTGGCAACCCCATCACCAGAGCCGAAAGCGCAAGAAACGGTGGCATGACGAGTCGCGGTGGTCCAGCCACGATGAAAACCACTTTGGAACACACCAGGAATGGGTGTGAAAAAATCCGCCTAACTCAGCCTCCAAAAAACTGGCATAATGTCATATATTTGCACCAAGGTCACATCATAAGACTTCACAATATAAGTACTTGAAGGGTTTCTTGAAGAGTACCATGAAGAATGGAACACACCTCATATTGCCCATTTATGGATATCACATTGACGGAATGTTTGGAATCATGTTGATTGTTTGCTGATTGTTTGCTGTTTGGTGATCCACACCCATTTCTGAATCGATACCCAGCTATTCCGAGCTGGCCCATGGTACAGAAAATGCATCGCACGTGACGTGCAAACGCACGTCAGCGGCATTGTGAAGTGGCCTTGTTTCGGGCAGAAAAAGACTTCCATGGCCTTCCCATAGAAATTCATGGGATATCTCCTGATGTCTGATCCGTGGGTGCCACAGTGTGCTCTGCTGTGCTATGGCCGCCTTCAACCGTCACCTTTGAGGTCATCCGCGAATCCATCGGTGAGAGACGGAAGTTTTGGTTCCGGCTTACCAACAGAGCAATCAATGAGGCCAGAGAGGGGAGCTTAAAACGGGGACCCAAAACAAGCGCTGAGACAATGATACTTTGCCATCATGATGTTAGTATGAATCGTTTTTTTTTAATAGAGCATGATAGAGCAATACATAGTATTACACAGTGATGTATGGCCATACTTCTTTTACGTATATTCATATAATGAGTCATATTATAATATATTATCTATATATTTGATTAACATATATGATAAATACTAGTTATATATCTATATATTACCTTAATACGGCGACGAACTCGTTGTTGTGTTTTAAGGCACGCTGCTCAGCTGCGCCGCCCAGGATGGTAAAGGTTCCATGACCTTACTGGGATGGCTGTGGGAGCAAGATGGCAGCCTCCAATACCGTCTACGAAAGGTGGAGCTGACTACCCTCCGGTAATGACTAACATAGCTATTGAAAATGGCCATAGAAATAGTGGATTTACCCATTGAAATTGTGATTTTCCATAGTTATGTTAGTTTACCAGAGGGTACCTGGCCTTTCAGAGCAAAGAAATGCAGCTATAAAATGCTATAAATGATGGTAAATCAATGGTAAATGATATGATAAATGATGATCGAATCATGTCACTTCCCATTTCGCACATGATTCTCACATTGTTGGCATGCATGATTCTGACTTCTCGTGATGAAGCAGCAGTGTATCGGGTCCTTCAAGAGTTCCCAGTCAAGAAGCAATGCCCGTCAGGCGTATGAGATGAAACTGGAGCAGATTGAAGAGATCTCACGCATTTCTGATGAGATCCGTCCCAAACCCAGATATTGCCTGAAAGTCCGGGTTTTTAACATGTTTCACCGTGTGAGAGTGTGAGACTAACAGCCTCCCGGAACGTCTTTGTCCCATGTTTGAGGACTGAACATGACTAAGGCCTTGCACAGGTGGAAAAAGGTAGTGACTCACAACAGCGACTCACTGGTTTCCTTCTAAGGTGCTAAACTGGTAGCCAAGGTGAAGGCGGGTCATCATCTGACAGATGTTTCCTTCAACTACACCGTTCCATGATATGACCGACTCCATCCAAATCTGATACATGGCGGAAGCAAACATCGGGATGAACTACGCCGAAACGAACATGGAAGTAGAATAGAACACGACCCCCATTTTGCCCAACTTGTCGCTTGTCTTACATGGGCACGGTCACGATCTATGGGAGCGTTTGGAGGGATGAACATCTACAAAACAAGTTTCTGTGGTGCGAAAATTGAAGATACCAGTCTTTTCTGATCCATTTTCGGCCTCTTACATCCGTTATACACCTATGAAATCCTATGAATAAGATCTAAATTTGGACAGGTATATCGGTAATAATAAATTCCCGTGTGTGTGTCGCTTATCTTCCAATTGATTGAAACACTCCCACACGATATTTGTTGCTAAACCATGCGATTTGTTGGTTAACCCTCACATGTCACATGGATGGTGGGAACAATATATGAGACGTATGGTTTTTGCATGTTTTTGCATGAAAATCCCCGTATTTTGATGGTCAATTCAACAATTCCCCATACTTTGTAGTGGAAAACTCCCCATGGGGCAGGCGGACGCCGCGGCAGACGGCATCTCCTTCGACGGGGAGCCGGATGAGACGGCCCTGAAGCCGAATCCCAACATCCCAGGGGTGCCCAACTGGGAAATCGAGGACTGTCGGGGGGAGGCAGAGGTCTTGGAATTTTCTGGTGAATTGGGAGATTCTGGAAGCTTCTGGAAGATTCTGGATGAGGATTGGAAAAACTGGATGATTGGAGTGGTTTGATGTTCTCCCTCAGGGTCGTTGTGCCTTCGATATTTGATTGAAAACTGGGTACCACTAAGTTCATCATTGTCCCTATGAACATTGCCATTTGGGGGGAAATTCCCCATTTAGATCATTTGGGATCAGGGATCTCTCCAGTGGCGTCACCAAAAAACTCTTGCCCTAGGAGCTGAAGTCCATCTCTGATGGACACATCATCTTGTGCCTTGACAGCGTTGTTTTGTGCTGCATCCACTTCTAGGCTTCAGTGACTCACAGTGACTCACAGGTGCTCACAGCCAGATCCGAGAAAAAAGGTATCGCTAGATCATCTAGATCTATGATTCTGAACGATGATTCTGAAAAACATATATAATTGCCCTACCATGCAACTGGATTACTGTTTCCAGTTCTGGCTGGATGAAGTAGGGATTACTACAGATGGCTCTTCAGCCACCTCCATTGCGAAAGGCGGCCCCCGGAGGGCGACGTGTGGGAATGGCGCAAGATCCTAAGTTGGCAGTTTCCAATTCTTCATCAGAACTTCGTCAATCTATTCAAACATATTCAAAACACTCGCTGCCAAAGGCGTGGACCCCTACCGATCCTTACCTCGACTGGGCACAGTTCACACCTCGGTGAACCCCGAGTCAGATGATTTTCAAGTCGCTGGGAATATCTTGGAATATTGAAATTTAGTTGAAATAGTCACTTAATTTCTACAGTTCCAAGTTTGGAAGTATGCCTCCAAATTGACACCTCTAGAAAATAAACGGTGGAATCATGTTTAATCAATGATGATTGCGCTTTGAAATGCATCTGGCTTTGGGCCAAATTTGAGCCGCGGCGTAATGCGCTGGAGAGCTGATAAAAACCAAAGCTAGTTTTGATGCGTTCATTGATTCTCACCGAACAAAACTGGAAATCCATGGAAATCCTTTTTGCTCGGAATGGGTTGCTGGAAATCTCATGGTTTCTCTTCAACTTGGGCCCTGGTTTTGAAAAACAGGATGCTTTGCACCCTGCCCTCATCTCTGCTGATTCGTGTGGCCCTTGGAGGTAGCAGCCATTGCAAGGAGGAACCCCTGAGCATCCGGCCATTTACCGGAAAACAATATAAATGATGAAAAATGGAAAAAATATGATAAAACATGGAGCAAAGTTGGCAACTGTGGGGTTTGAAAGTGTTAAGCTGCTGAAGGATTCTCGGCACCCGTTGCACACAAGATGTGATTCAAGGCCAAAGTTGCGCTTGAAGATGATGCAAGGAAAAGATAGGCTTGGTAGGGACATAGCGCACCAAGTTTGGACATAGTTTGACACCGGCTAATGCGACCATGAATCGAAATTGGGATCAGTGGTAGCCTGAGATGTCGATCCGGGTCCACTTGAATTCGCTGTGTCAAGAGCTCCCATCTGAAATTTCTGGTGGTGGCATTGTCATCATTGTCCTAGTTACAGGAGGGACGGCACAAGGATTAATCGATCATGGACCACATGGATATGGAATCCCAGGTGACTCATTTCAGGTGGCTTCAGACATCTCAAAACCACCAGGGAGATGGATTAAAATCAAGAAACAACAACTCAGTGGAAGTGATTTCCCTCCATTTTTGGCTTCATGGCCTACTGTTTGGAAGTACTTCGCATCAAAGACAGTTTGCGGATCTTGCGACAGCCAGGGCAAACATCCTTCATGACACGCAACTTGGATGATGTTGATCGAGTTGGATTCTTCAAATTGTGATCCCTCTTTTCATGGGACATGCCAAGAACCATTCCAGAATCCTGGAATCCTAATTTGAACCATTTGTTTATACATCCTGATTGGTGGTTTGGAACATGGCTGGCTTATTTTTCCCATCATATTGGGAATGTCATCATCCCAATGGACTTTCACTCCATCATTTTTCAGAGGGGTAGGTCAACCACCAACCAGACATTATTAACCATCATTAATCATCATTAGCCATCATTAAATCACCATTAAACACCATTAAATCACCATTAAATCACCATTTTTCATGGGTGCCCCATTACCAAACTTCAGCAAGTTCCGCACTTCCCTGCCTCCATCGGTGGACTCCGGGCCAAGGATCGGTGCGTCCGGGCCCAAGGCACGGTTTTTTGGTGATTTTTTCGCGGATGGACCTTGCACCAAGGGCCGAAACCTTGGATGATAAGCCCGGAGTGGAGCTGCAATTTATTGTGTGCGCCTCAGATGGTGACGTAGAAAATTTAGATATTATAGATGGTGGATTCTCGACCACTACTTCAAACAGGAAAAATGAAAGGCATGAGGCTAAGGCGATTTGGATGTTGTATGGTGTGAATGTCATTGGTTTCCACGCCATCAAATCGATCAAATGCATTCAAATGCATTCAAATGCCCCAAATTCTGCAAAGAAATCACGGCAGGAACTGCTGCTGCATCAGCCTGCAAGTCAGCGGAGCACTTGGTCACACAGGACCACTCGTGCCCAAATTCCGACACGCACATGGCACATCGTGGCACATGGCCTTGTGATCCTCAAAGTGAATGCCAAGGCTTTTTTCCATTGACGAGGAGGTGCGTGGGACTGGGTGCAACCTCAGTTGTTTGCGGGAACTGAGCCAATGGATCGTGACGAAGATGCTTCCCAAGAAGTGGCTGAGACATCCTAGTAAATCAGTAAATGTGCATCTATATATATTTATATATTTACTATAAACTATACATGGCTGTCAGTGAATGGATCTGAATGGGGTACACCCCCGAGTGTTTGTGCACAATGTTCAGGTGGCGAGGATAGTGTTGGCTTCAGATGCCGATTGCACCAGGCCCTTCCCTTTGATTGGGGAATGCCTCACCTCCAGTACTTGCTGCATTTTGTTATAGCTACAGGGTGAGCCATCAGGCTAAGAGAGGTGGAAGGTGATTTGCAGGAGCCCCAGGTTCTTTCCTTGCGAAGTCACGTAGCTGCACATGTGAGACATGTGTCTTCTGTGAGTCCGGCATATTCTGGCTTTGTCGTGCTTCGGGTCTCGCAATTCATTTCAATCATGTTATTGATTTACATTGATTTACATTGATTGATACCTGCACAAGACTTCCACATGACTTCCGTATGACTTCCGTGTTGATATCATAAATGGCGAATCTCCGAAGGCTTGCAGCACGAAGGTGCAAGGCTTCAAGGTCGGTTGCATTCCCGAGGAAGAGGCGAGAGACCCTCACTGGCCTCGCTAAGGCGCCCAGGGCTGTTTTGAGGTCAACATCTATGGCTGACATCGAACCACCAACCATGGTGATATGTGGTTCTTTTTTAAGCAAGCATTTGTGATGTTGTTGTGATACTTATACTTATAATATATACTTATATTTATATGATCTTATATGATATGATGTACATGCATCCATACATCCGTACATCCATACATCCATCCATACATCCATCCATACATCCATCCATACATCCATCCATACATACATACACAAACCATATACATATGATTGACACTATTCAGCCACCAGCAATTCAACCACCCCAGGACCCAGAATGGTCGGAAACACCGAATTCTGATAGGTTTACTTGCAAAAAGGATATGCTTTCCAAAAGGGAAGTTGTCTTCGCTGCTCCAAACCTGTCAGGAACTGCTCCAAACTGATGCGGGGCGACAAGCGATGGTGGCCAGCGATGTTTTGGGACAAAATGCATCGGACTTTCTGGGGACTCAATGATGTTCTCGATGCGTTTTGCGTTTTGGAGGCGCCAGATGTCATGGTTGTTTTCCGAAGAACTGGATGAAAAAGCGATGACCCATTGATGCTGAGATGGCTCTGTGCCAGGCAGAAATCAAAGACCTTGGTTTCGTGACTCCTCCGACCTTGGACCCTGGGTCGAACTCATCCGGGAGGACACTTCCCTGCTCAATTTGGGATTGGCATCGATGCATGTCGGCTAAGGACCTGCTAAACCAGGAGGTTGCGACATTCAGATGAGGACACTGAATGGAGGATAGAGTACAGGTAGCAGAATATAGCAGAAACATGCAGAAACAAGTTTGAATTTGGAGGGATGTATGCCATGCATGCCGTACGGTATTTGCGGATGTGTAGGGGGACAAGGTCTGAGTTGGACTGAAACATTGGTGGATGAAACCTCCAACACATTGCAATACCGTATTTTGCCATCACTTTTGCTGGCAGGATGTCTTCTATCACCTTCAAGAGCCATGTCCGAGATGAAAAAGGCTGCTCCACTGTGCTCGATGAATATTCATGCTATTGATAAGTTGTTGAACAAGTCAAGGAAAGCTGACGATGAAGAACATGTAAACGTAAACGAATAGAAACACCAGGAACACCGCTGATCCACCCTCAAATCTCCATCATAATCATATACAATCGTTAATCATCATAGATCAATGAAAATCGATGATAAATAGTGACACATATGAGTTTCCACCATAATCACCATCATAATCATCATAATCACCACCATAGTTTCTTTTATGTTTCAACTAGCATTTTACGCGGAATGCCTTGGACAGTTGCACCTGAACTGTTCAGAACTCTGTCGCCAAAAACTACCACTCAAGTGGCTCAAAGCAAATTGCGCTGACATCAGAAACTACAGAAACGCCATGGCACTGCGCAATACCACAACAAAGCAGAATTCAAGAGTTATAGATATAATTGAGTTGGAATAGAATCCATTTGTCACCTGTCTTTAGCTTCCAGCAGCCAGTGTTAGTTTTGTGCTTGCTTCAGTTTTCTAGAACCAATTGGTAGTGAGGCCAAGCGGCTAAGTGATAGAACCAACACATTGCAACAGCAATCTGAGGAAGCGCCATTTTCAGCTGCAGAGTGTTGTTCTTTGGTTTCCATATGTTTCCATAGTTTCCATTGAAAACAAGATGAGTGGCAAATGGTTTCAATAGAACACGTTGGATCTCCGTTTCGTCATTTCTCGGGGTAAGCTACGGGTTCATCTCATGTAGCGAAACAGCGGCGATCGGCCAGCATGGCTGCCACAGGCCTGGGGTGTGGGTGCCATAAACATCCATAAACCATCCATCAAGGAGTGTTAGAAAAGCAAATATATATATATATATATACGTATATATAAACATGTATAAACCATCCCCAAATGGTAGGTTTATGGCATTTTATGGAATTGGGCGAATCCCACATCCTCAAATCATGCTGACTCTGCCCAGGAGATGCTTCCAACAAGCGAAAGCGCGATGACCGAGTGAGGTGACACATGGTGACACCATTCACTGTGACGCAAAACCAAAGCAGTTTGGGAAGGTAAGGAAAAGCAGTGGACCAGTACTGTTGGAATCTCGTGAAACTCATTGAAACTCAAGTGTGCGAAGGATGGTCAGAAGATATGTCACGTGCTGACTTGGAGTTGCATAGTTTAGTTCTGTGGATCAAGTTTGACATTTCTCTGTCACAAACTCATAGAGCGAAAGCCGTTGGTTGGTGATTTGAAGTCTATTTGACTTCCTGGGAACGCCTCCAGGAAGGACCTGAGACTGGACATCATGTGACTTGGGTCCGAAATGATTGGGGAATATGGCATAATATGGCTGCAATGGAGAATTAACGATCACTTTTGTGTATAACTGTATAACGGTATAATTACAATGCACTGCAGAAATCCTAATCAAACAACCAGTAGCTTTGGGAATGACAGAGGCTAAACGAGCGCTGCTTGTTTGATTTCAAGCATGTCAGAACAATCCTCGCACAGTGCAACCAGTGCAACCAGCGCAACTGAGCTTCAGAATGGTCGCATGAGCTTCTCCTTGGCATATTTGGCATGGGTCATCATTAGTCATCATTAGTCATCATTGGTCAACATGTCAATCTACCACAGCCATCCACAGCCCGAGGATTGAAAGCTTGATGCAGCTTCGGTCCATCAGACCCATCGAAGGAAAGCCCGGACCTCGGTCAACGAGTTGACCATAAAAAAAACCATGTCAATGCAGAGCCATGATATCCAGAAATTTCCAGAAAGGATCAATTGGGCAACAGTGATATTCTGGAATCACTGATTTCACTGGTTTGGTTTGAGGGAAATCATGGAAAATCCCTATCATTCCATAGTAAACGTCAGACGGCTCATGGTTTTCGTCACAAAACATGGGAATTCCTTGGAATTCCCTCAGGCAAGTGGCTCTAAAGGAGGACGACTTGCACACCCTTGTCGTTAAGGCAGGGTTCAAGAAAGCGTCCTGGTGACTGGTAAGTATCACTGTTGATATATAGACTAGATAGACTAGATGATGCTTGCCACTACTGGATGTCTTAGATCTCTTTTGGCGGCCAGTTGGCAATACCTCTCTTGCTCACGCGACATGGCATGACATGGCTAGGTTGAAGAAACTTGAATCCAAGATCAATTGTTGCAGTTGGTACGAAGATGAACGTCCAATCCCTTGTCCGCCTTGTCCGAGTGGCCACCGTACCATGCTGTGGAAGGCCCAGGGCATTTTTGCAGATCAACCAATGCTGTTGGAGCTCGATGCGCCCATGCAGGCGTGGCTGACGGGCTTTTTCGGCCTCATGGCCAGCCTTTTTCAACATGGCCAGTGCTGAGGTGGTCGGCGATGTCCATGGCCAGTACTACGACCTGCACCTTGGCGGCCCTGGCGGCCTTGGCGGTGCTGACCTGATGGGCCTTCCATGGCCTTCCAGTTGCGACGTGCCATGAGGCTCAGAATTCTTGAGTACGGTGGATCTCCAAAGAATAGTCAAGGCCTCAGGGCCTCAAAAATGGCTGAAGGAGAATGGGCACCACCTCTGAGATTAGAACAATTGTAACACTATACCACTGAATCCACTGATTGATCATTGTTAATCACCCATAATATATAAAGATGATGCTATCTTTGGAGCATGTTAATGTCAAAGCGCCTGTGCGTTTCTTGACGTTGGCCAAAAAGTGGTTTCTTCCGCTTCACGTCTCTAGGAAATTACCTGTTCTTGGGAGACTACGTGGACAGGCTTCGGCAAGTAGGTGGTGGTTTCCGGCTTCACCTTATATAATATAATCTGATTTGGCCGATGCCACTGAAAGGCAATCTGAGATTGAAATGATCTTCATTTTTCTCAAACACTTGGAGCCATTTGAAACCGAAAGTTTACAGGCTCCTTCACTTTGCATAGCCTCTTGTCAGGGGTAAAAACTCCATCGAGTGCATTGCCCTCCTGTTTGCCTACAAGGCAGTTGCTACATGTTGCTACCAAGTTTGCAAGTTGCTCAAGGATCAATCTGCGCAGCATTTTTGGGAGTAAACAAAAACGTAGGAAGGACAGAGTCAAAGATTAGCCGAAAGAGATCAGGAGCAAACCAGCATGGTAAATATGGTAAGGAGAATGTAAGAATTAAGATAATTAAGCTCTTTCTACTGTAGTGTTCAAATCAACATTTTGCCGATCAGCCACGCAGGTGCAGGAGTCTGAAAACTTTTTCTTGCTGCGAGGAAACCACGAATGCGCAATTTGCTCGCAGCAAATGCAGGGCATCGATGGTTCATGTCTTGCTGTAGATTGGCGACCTCGGATGGTCAATCCATGTCCCAAACCAAAACTCACCGACAGCATCAACCCACCAGTGAGGCATCCATCAATAAGATCTATGGCAGCCTATCTGCACTAGAGCAAAAGCTTGACTGTTAACCAGTCGATGTGTTTGTTCGAGCTTTGAGCCATGCATACCCATCCTTTACCATCTGATTGGTTCACACTGTCATGATGTCATGGTTGATGGTATCTTGGGATCAATGCTCTCATAACTCCAGGCTTCTATGATGAGTGCAAGAGACGATACAGCGTCAAGTTGTGGAAGAGCTTTTGTGTCCAACTCGCCGGGTTTTTCATCTGAGTGGCTGAGTGACTCAGCTGTTTTGACATGTTTTGAAAAGCAACTGATATGCCAGGATGCCTTCAATTTCATGCCAGCGGAGTCCTTAGATCAAAATATGCACTGCAGGTGTCAGCAGCCATCACTGGAGACAATTGGATCAGATGTTGTTGAGACACTGGGTGTGTCTAAGCCCGAATATTTAACGGTAATCCAATCCAGCAGTTTTTAGGATTAGCACAACACTCTGGTTGAAGTATCCCTGGAATTTCCTGCGATGTCCCTGCCTTTGGAATCGGACAAGTTGCACCTTGGTGCACCTGGCTGAGGTGTGCGCCCTGATCCAGGATCGCATTATCTGCATGCACGGGGGCTTGTCTCCAGACCTCAAAAACTTTGATCAGCACCTCAGTAGCACGAAGACCACAGAAGCCTCATGGATGACTCGGGGATGATACTGCCGTTATCTGCCGTTGATGGATGATTTTATCACCAGGGATCACGAGATATCACGAGGATCCTCATTGACCAAGGGGATTTCCATGAGGGTTTTTTGGCCACCGCGCATATTTGTTTGAGTCATGGTGGCCCATAGATCCAGAGAAGCTGGTCAACCTTCGCTGTGAAACCACCCAGTTGTTCTAGTGCCTTATGTTGACCCGAACCAACAGATGGTTAGCAGCTGCTTAGTCATACTGAAGAACGGCAGGAGCAACTGATGATACTGATGTCACTTCGTCAATTGTGGCTCCACCATTGAGAGATATGATTCATGACGCTTTACTACACAATTCAAGGACGCTGCGCTATGTTGGACTTTGCTTCTCGACTTGGAAACAGCTCAGCAAATGCCACCAAGGATACGGGAAATCCAACGTCCAGCACGATGCTCGGTGTGTTTTCGCCAAGTTGGCGCTTCACTGGGCAATTGTTGCTGGCTAATCCCATCCCCCGTAATCTTTGACCAAAAAAATGAAGCCAAATATATGTGGCTTCATCCCTATGAAACCATGCTTTCTTGGGGGTGTTTAATGTTAGGAAAAATCATTAGCGTATATTATAGTTGTAAAATGTTGTAAAATGTTGTAAAATGTTGTAAAATGTTGTAAAATGTTGTAAAATGTTGTAAAATGTTGTAAAATGTTGTAAAATGTTGTAAAATGTTGTAAACCATTAATAGTCATGAATATCCCATGAAATTTCCTATGATTCGTGGAGATTTGGCAGGCAGAAGTGCCCGAGGCAGGACTTCTCGTGGACATTTTATGGCCAGAACCTCGGGACGCAGCGCCAGAGATCCAAAGGTTTGCACGCAAGCGCCGTGGTAATAGCCGAAGGCTGAGTGGGGTTCATAAAGCTTATATCAGATTGATAGATTAGATTGATATCATTATATTATATAGAGGGATATATAGGGTATATTTGATTCAGAACACACTGCAATGTGCGCATTGATGGTATTCATGCTTAGATTTTGAGTGATTTGAGAGAAATTGAGATTGTGTAAGCAGAAATTGATGTGTTGGAATTGGGATGGGTCAATACCTTTGGGACCATCGGAGTGGGTTGATCAACATCAGCTGAGGTCCGATCCATCTCCAGTAGTGGACAGCTGGGGGGAAAATGATCGAGGAGTCTCGTTCACCTTTGGTGCTGGCCTAAGTGTTGCATCAGTTTATTCAGCAGTTTACCCTCTGAGAGGGGATCTACCCTCTGGTAATTTAACATAGCTATTGAAAATGGCCATTTATAGTGGATTTTCCCACTAAAAATGGTGATTTCCCATAGTTATGTTAGTTTACCAGAGGGTAACCATAAATCTAACCTGGCTGGAGTCATACAGTAGATTTTCCATGGGAAATTCCATGGTTCCATGGTCATTGGCTCGGCCAAGTCGGGCACAGCTTAGGTCATCAAGTGGTGAAGTCCTTCCTGAGAAAGCACAACTTGGATGCTTGGCTGAGCCAATGACCCTGTGATCGTTGCATATCGTTGCCATCCAAAAGCCTTGGTGTTGGATGATGTTGGATGACTATCAACTTGGTCTTTAGATATTCTTTAGATCGTGGATCATTACCAGTCTTGGTTGGGGTGATCCCAATTCATGGTTTGGGTCTGTCGGAGAATAGGGGATCCCGGGTTAATCATCATTGTCGCATATGATCATTTTTGTGATCCCTATTGAAATGGTCATGCGGCGGGTATATCCCAGGGTCCCAGTTTCAGACACACCAAGACATCCAAGGACCTGATTTGTCGCGCTCATCAGGTCGTGGAGGAGTTCATCTGCTTTTCAATGCTATATGGGAATGATCGGGAATGTGCTGCATAAATATCATTGAGTAAAATGAAATGTAGATTTTTTGGATATTGGATTATCATGGATTATCCATTTTATTATAGCATTATAGCGTTTAGACCCAAATTCTTGCTCGGATTTCGGCTGGACGATTTGATGTTTGAAAGGATGGCTACGAATTCTTCGCCGGTCGACAATTGGTAACCGTTTTCTCTGCGCCGAACTACTGCAGAGAGTTCGACAATGCCGGTGCCATGGCAAGATACGGCAGGACAGCTTGGCTTTGGCGCCAACGACAGATGCTGTTTTTGCCATTGCCGCCATGCTTTGGGAAAGTAATGAACCTTGTTATTTTGCTGTGTTTGTATGTCTCGTGCTGCATGCATTGAATTTCCATCATCATTGGAAAAATCTTGGAAACATATCAACGGACCTCGAATCGCTCTTTGCTCAGGTGCACTGATGACCATTAATGAAACACTCTACATTTCATTTCATGTTCTCAAACCGCAATTACCGTGATCAAATCTAAAAAAATAATTTGAAAAGGAATGAACAAATGAAGCTGAACACATACAAGTGAAGCTGAGTGGCAGCTGGAACTGCTTTGTGTCAGCTGGACCATTTGAGCATCAATATGTTTCTCATGCAGTGAAGTGATATGTATGCGAAGGTTGCGCACAATCTAATTGTTGTCTAGATAAAGCTAGCTTTTGTTTTTTCCTAACCAAATGATTTTATAGAGTCCGGATTACTTAACGAAATATAAATAAGAATCATTATACAGGCCAGCTTTTGCTGCAACCCCTCTTGCCTTAGCAAGGTGTTGGCAAGGATTGGAATGTCTAATTTATGTTATAATTTTGATATTAAAAAAAATATATATATATATATTAGGATTTTCTCTTATTCTTGCTCCTCTCCTATTTCTGATATTATATAATATTTATTATTTTAAATTAATATAATTTATAAATGTACGTAGATTATTTTATTTTTTTATATTTTTGTTTTTAAAATAAATTGGAATGGTATTAAAAATATTAGGATTATCGACGAAATTATTATCTTTATTCTTTATTTAAATTATATTATATTTAAAATATTTAGTTTAATATTCTGAATAATATTATTAAATATTTTTAGAATATTGGATTTTTTTTAAGAATTTAGAGGCCGAAAATATCGTATTATTTTTGAATTTTATTTTTTATATTTTTTATAAAAATTAATATTTTATATATGAAATTAAATAATATTTTTTGGTTATTTTGGTGGTTTTGCTTGTGGGTTATTTATTATTACGTAATGGATAGGTAGGTGGTTATGATTTAGGCCGGATTATTTGTTTTATTGTTTTAATTTGGTAAATAAATAAAATGATTTCGAATATTATATTCTGAAAAATTAATGATGAATAATTTTTAATAGAAAATAAGAAATAAAAAATATATGATAAAGGACGAATAAAAATTAATGAGGGGGAATAGAGGATAGGGTATGGAAAACGAAAAATGGAGGCCGGAAATTGGAAAATAATGGATAAATTGACAATAAAGGATTGAGGATGAATGATGGACGATGGATGAATAATGAAAATATTTAGTAATAATTAGAAAATAA